GTAAGTAAGAGTAAAAAATCTCAGATAAATACAGAATATAAGGTATTTTGTGAAAAAGCACGAGTGGCTAAATCAATTGACACTAAGCATCGTCAAGAGGTTTTAGAAATAAAGGTAATTGGTGTTGATAGCAAGAAAGACAAAAATTCATTAGTTGAAGTGATGAACTACAAGAGTAATGGAGACCCTTTCTTTTATCGAACCACCAATGATGAACATCACCTCACTTTTACTTGTGAAAATGATCCTTACTCCGGAAATTATCTAACACATGCGATAATAGAAAATGGTAAAGGTAGTACTATGGCTTTAGCAACATTAAATGTGCTTTCTGAATATGATAGTGTTCAAAGCTTAGAAGCGATTGTTCTTGACAATACAAGTTCTAACACTGGCGTAGATAATGGTTTAGTTGTCAAATTAGAAAAGCTTTTGAATTGTAGCATTCATTTAGTTGGATGTTTGCTTCACCAGGGTGAGCTACCTCTTCGTCATGTTATATCTGAAATAGATGGACAAACTAATGATCCTAAAAAATATAAAGGTCCTATTGGTATACAAGCATCTAATATATTCATGCATGAACAACCTTTAGTTAAGTTTATTCCTATAGATTCCGAGAATTTTATGTAAATCCCGACATTGTTTGCAATCTGAGTACAGACCAACGTAAACTTTATGAGTATTGTATTGGAATAGCTAAAGGTTCCATTTCTGTCAAGTATGCTAATAAAAAACCTGGTCCTATCTGTCATGCACGCTGGCTAACCCTTGCTTTAAGAATTATGATGGTTTATGCAAGAACTGAGATACCTACACATGATCTAAATTGCATCACAAAGTACATAGTTCAAGTCTACTGTCCAATGTGGTTTGCTGTAAAAAGTTCAGCACATTACAAAGATGCATAAAACAATTCAGTTAGTCAAAAAACAGGATGACAGAATTGAAAAGATTGTATTGAAAAATCTTTAGGGTAACTCCTATTGCTGCTGTCAAGAAAATTTTCTTTACGCTATGCTGCTAGACGATGAAAAAGTTGTAAGAGATCGTGCTCTCAATCAAATCTTGGAGATATCTTTATCTAGGGAATATAGTTATCTAGGGAAACAAATCCAGATTTTAAACCTAAAATCAAAGCTAAGACAATTATGACCTTGAACTTCAATGCTGATGTTTGGACCGACTTAATTGAAGTTTCTTCAATACAAATTGAACCTCCCACTTCAATTTGTATTTCTTCAAACGAATTACAACAAGCTATTCAAACCGGCAATAAACTTTCTCTAACTGATTTGCCAAACAATTCTCAGTCGGTGGAAAGAGCTGGAAAACTCACATCTGAAGCCTCTAAAAAGGTTTATGGATGGGTGAAGAGACATAACTTCATTCTGGCGAAAACCAAGTAGAGCCGAAAACAAGAGAAATATGAAAAAGTCAGAATACTTAAGAGTAATTTTACAATCTTGTATAATGCAAATATAATGTATATTGAATACAATACAAAATTATAATATATAATATATCAATATTATTGATATTGAAAATTTTTTCTATGACTTTTCTATAAAATTGAGTTCAATGTACTTGTTTATGAAAAGACATTCAAAAATGTTATTACAACATTAAACTTGGTGTAACTTTCATTGTGAGGTCTATAAAATCGTTGAAGTTCCAGTATATGCTAAAAAGACCCTGGCCCAAGCTATTCTTAAACACCAACAATTTTAAAGAACTTTTTGTTAACAATCGAGTTAAAAACTAGAAAATCCGATTTTCTAGTTTTGAACTAATATTTAATAGAACTTTTCATAAACATCTGCGACGGAAACTTTTTACGGACCTTCGTTTCTATGTGACATTAGCCAATAAGCTTTCATAAAACATCGTGAAAATGAGGCAAGACTTGTAAAAAGTTTCCATCACAGATATTTATGATTTTGCGAAATATTTAATTAATTTAAATGTTTGAAAAAAAAACACAAATAATTGAAAACTTTAAAATGATTTCCCAAATAATTATAACTCCAAATTGTTTAATTTTTTCGGAATTATGTTTATATTTATGGCTTACATAAATCCCAAAGTGAGCCAACATGCTTTGGAAAAAAAAGTATGTATAGACAGTGGCTTACTGCACAGCCATCAGAAAAATAATGAATTTTTGTGATTGCGGGACAAAGATGAGTTTTTTTATGATTTATGTTTTTATGCATAACTTCATTGATAAATCCGACATCATGATTCAAATCGTCTGAAATTACACAAAAAGAAGATATTTCCAGTTTCACTTTCTTGTAGTAGATGACAACTGGATGAAGAGAACATTGACTCTTGCTCCAATGGTAACTCTGTATCTTGTCTTGTACTACAAAAGTGTGATACTCTGCAAAATCTGCTAGTACAATAGCCTCATCAATACTAATTGTTTCTTTGAGATGCTTTAGAGATTGTGATTTTGCTATAAATGAATGAGAAGTAATAATATCAAGTTTATCACGCAGGAGCTCTATGAATTCATTTAAAGGAAGTTTTATTGTTAATAATTCGGTCCTATCTGTTGTTGTCCACTGTTTGAAATCCACTGACTTTTCATTTTTTGTCACTGTCATATTGCTCTTTTAGATCATCATTTTGTGTGAGATACTGCTGGAAATAAGCTTGTATGCCAGGACAACTATTGCATTGGTGAAACATGCAACAAACAAGCTTTCAATTTTCTACTGCAGACAATCTTTTCAATGATTTCATAATAGGATGTTTTAAGGCCTACGTCACTCAACATTAATTTAATATTTTGGTGTATTGTACACACACAAACAGAATGTGGACCTTTTGGATAAGCAAAGATGCACCATTTAGGCATAGAGACCATAAAATCCAGTTTTATGGTCTGGGTATTTAATCTTATATGCCACATAGAGCTCCTTTAAGTTACACAAAATCAATTTTTTTGATGTTTTTTTTTCCCTAACACTTACAGTCTTTTTACCTAACATTTGCCTTGAATACTCATCGTCACAGTAAAAAAGCTTTACAAGTTCTTAACATCTTTACTGATTTGATGCTGTTACCACATTAGGGTATGCTATGATGCCTTTTAAGTCATGTAAAAGCTTTGTATTTTGAATTTTGTGTTTTGAAACTGAAAACTCTTTTGCTGCTTTTCTGATAGACCAAGATTTTGGGGTCAATGTCAAAATTTGAAGTTGCTGCCTTCTGTTAGAGACTTTAAGTTCTTTCATGCATTCAACAAGGAAGTCTAAATCAGCTTTGGCTTGAATTTCCTTTAGAACTTTATTGTTGTTTGGTGCAACCAGATCGGATTCGGTGACATCCAGAGCAGTTGCAAGTTTCTCAATAACTGCTTTTTCAACTTGCTTTATCTTTCTCTTTCCAAGTGAAGGCTTGTTAGTGGGTTTTGGTAAATGAACTTTTAGCGCAGATACTTCAAGTTCAGTCAAAGTACTGTTACAATGATCTTGTTGATTCCAGTATAATTTCTTTTTCCATATTATCTTCAGTTAATTTTATCTCCAACTCTTTCTCTTCTGATTCTTCAATTAATGCTAATTTATGTGTGCATTGTGGACAAAGTTTTTATGCCTGGCACTACAAATTTGCCTTTACTGCAAAAAAAACTTTACTTGAAAAAACCCATTTAACGCTTAAAGTGCACTTTCAGAAGTCAGCTAAAAGTTAGGTTAAATATAACTAAAATAGAATTTGGTTGCAAAAAATTTCATTATTGTAACTCACAGCATTTTCATAAAACTAAAAGTTGTGATTACTATAAAAACCTTTTATAACTTTGTTATGACTATTGAATAAATTGCAACACCGTGTTAATTTAGGTGCGTAACGCTTCAAATAAACATGTTTATGATGGAGACAAGTTGTTGGTTTGACATTGATTATTGATAGCCCAGTCCTCCACATTAATATTTCTCATATTCAAGAATATCTTCAAAAGACTTGATTCCAAGCAATGATGTATGTGTTGCAAGATGTATTCACTTTCTTGCTTGATTCCAATGGAGCACTGTTGGCTGTTTGCCATGACTAAGAAACTGAATTACCAAACAAGACTCAATAGTTATTTAATCTAAAATTAAAATAATTTTAAGCTTAAACAACTGGTGTTTTAAAACTATATTAATACGACATAAATGATGTCACAAATCTATATTTATACATCATAGTAGGCATTGCAAAACTATATTTTTACATAACAATTCTCTTTACAAAACTTCATTTATATATCAAAACCAACCTCAATAAACTGTTTTTACACATCACAACTGAAACCATGAGAGTCATGTAACTTGTTAAAACCTTAGGGTTAAGTGATTTTTTACCATTATAAAATAAAAAAAAACAATTATCAAACATTTTGAATTAGGTTATTTTCTTTTCTACTTTGGATTCAGCATCTTCAAAAATGGTTAGGTACCAATTTTCAGTTAGTTTCTTCCACTAAAACTTATATTATTTACACATATGCAATTGCTAAAAATTCTATGACAGAGAATTTGAGTCCAAATAAGGAATTTTTTATCTAAATTTAAAAATGACATATCTTTATAATGCTTTAAGAAACCAAAACCATCTTTTTTATAAAGATAGCCTAGGATTATCTACTTCATTTGAAAAAAAAATTGAATCCATGAAACTTGGGCAACTCCAGGAGTTAATGAAAGCGCAATCCGTGGTAACAGAACAAAAAATTTGACTGAACATTTTAAAATCAAATAATAATCATCAAAAAAATTTAAATTTCACTATTTTCTCTAGCATTTTAGGCTAAATTTCAAAATGCCATAACTTATGAACCGTTTGGATTTGGGAGCTAAAACTTTACATATATTCATTTTACATTGATTTGAAAGAAATCTAAGAGGGCGACTAAAAAATTTCAATTTTTTGTCCCAGTTTTACATGGAATTACCCTTTGGCGATTTTGTATATATTAATTATTTTTATATTATATTTTTTTATAGGTGTAATTATTGTCAAAGATGAATCTTTTTTAACAAATCAGGTTGTTATGAGAATAGAAGTTGAGGTCAGTGATGGTACTTTTAAGGGTAAAACAAATGTTGAAATAGAGACAGTATACTATAAGCCAGACAAAACATTCCATTTTCTAGATAAAGTTTATAAAGTAAATGTTCTGGAAAATATAAAGCCATTCTCTGTTGTCAAAGTCATCAATCCTGTAGGATATAATAGAACAGAAAAGTTGCACTACCGAATTTTAAACACTGTTCCTGGATTTGATATTATTAAGAATGTTGGTGTAATTATAACAGACAATAGTTCAATATTTGATTATGAAAATGTTTCATTTTATATTCTTCACATTGAAACTGCATACAATAATATCTATGCTCGAACATATGTAAATATTACTATAATAGATGTCAATGACAATACTCCAGTCTTTGAACAAAAGAAATATTTTCACCCCATTGATATTGAAACAAAAAAAGGAACTGTTTTATTAAAAGTTCAAGCAAATGATGCTGATTCAGGAGAAAATGGGAAAGTTAGGTAGATATAATGTCTATTTTTAAAACTTTAAAAGTTTGGTTTATTTTTTAAACATAGTTTATTTTTTAAACATGGAAATTTTTAGAAATAATTAATTTTATGATTTAAATTTGTTTGTAGATACTCTATGTTAACAAAAGAAGAATATTTTACTTGTGATTCTATAACTGGTGAAATTTCACTATTAAAAGGATTTATAAAGAGTCTTACTAAACCTGCATATTCATTATACATTCAAGCATCAGACAATGGTACTAACATTTTGACTTCGAAAGTTTTGGTTGAAATTCCTGTGTTAAATGAGGATCAGCCCAAATTTATGAAAATTTATGAAGCATCAATAAATGAAGACATTACACAAGGTTCAACTATATTCACTGTTGTTGCATTGGCCCCACAAAATCGGCAAGTATTTTATCAGATTTATGCTGGTGATGAGTTTGAATTATTTGAAATTGGACTAACTACAGGTAAATACAATTTACAGTGTTTTATTTTATTACAGTATTTTAAATTTTTTAATATGATATAAAATTAATATTTATTTATTAATTATGCTTGCTAAAATGCTTCTTCAGCCTAATTTTTTTATTTTTAAAGTTTTGTTTGTATTTAGACTAAAAGTATTGAAATAAAAAATGAAATTTATAAAGAAAATGTAATAAGAAATTATATTGAGTTAAATTATTGAAAAGTTTTCTCTAATTTTATTTAAAGTTTATCTTAATTAATTTTTATCTTAATTTTATAACTTTTTATTACTTATAGGAGAATTAAAACTTGCTAGTAGTTTGGATTATGAGCAGACCAACTCTTACAAACTTCAAGTAAAAGCTATTGATAGTTTAAGTGGGTCATGGGCACTGACTGACTGTGAAATTACTTTAAATGATGTCAATGACAATCCACCTATGTTTGAGAAGCCTTTTTACAAAGTTCTTATTAAAGAAAATGTAGCTCCAGGTTATTGTTAAATTGCTTTTTTTATTAAAGTAGCCTTAGGCAGATACTGATTCATTCCTCTAAACAGATGTGGTAGATTATTAAATTACCCATTTAAAATATTCAAGTTTCAAATGTTTATAAATATTAAACAAATATATACACAAAATAAAGCATAGTCATACAAATAAATTGTCATAAATATAATCTATAGTTTTTGTTTTTACTAATATTACTTCTCACATTCTTAAAGTAAGAATTTAATACAAATATTGCTTCTCAAAACCGCTCTCAAAACTTTTTCTCAAAAGTTTTAACATTGTACTCAAACACCAAAATAAAATAAGAATTTTCTCCCTTCTGGTGTTTGTATACAATGCAAAAAAAATTTTTTTACCGAATTTTAATAACTAATCTAGAGCCCCTCAAAGCTATTGAACATTTAACAAGTCCCTAAAATTAAAAAAATAGTATTTCTCCATAAGCTGGCGTCCTACGGTAATCATTTGTTTTTCACTGCATTTTCAATTCATCTTCAGATGCCAACACTCTTCTTCGTTTCCAGTAACCTTGGGTACTACATGGTGTCATCCTTGGTTCTGTATTAATTCTCATCTATACTAATGGTCTTTCTGACAATCTAAAGTGGCTCTATTTGCAGATGACACAACTATATACTCCTGTCTTGATAAAAGTCATCTTTTCTATCACTTAGATCTTGAATCTGATCTCACTTCTGTAACAGATTGGGGCAGTTATTTACTGCAAACTACTATTGCAATACTGTTGACATTCCTATATTAATAAATGATTACTCTCTCACTGAGTCCTCATCTTTATGCTTTATTGGATTATTGTTTACTACTGACCTTACATGGAAACTATATATATAACTGATTGCTAAATTAACACCTGCTATGGTTACTTCTTTTTAATCTATTTTTCTTTCTCCTGATTTCATTCTCTACCTCTACAAATCTCTACAAATCCATGTATGGAATACTGTTGTCATATTTGGGCTGGTACTTCTATTGATGCTCTTTTTCTTCTAGAAAAGGTCCAAAAATGCATTGTTAATGTATAAAAAGTACTATAATGGTCGCTGCTCAAAGAAGCTATCATCTCTAGTTCCATCAACTAAAACTTATTCCCGGTTGACTTGTTATTGAGCAAAGTCTTATTCGTTTACTGTTACTATCCCTGCATGTTCTTAAAACTTTTACTGATCTATTTTTTATTCCCTGCACTTCAACCCTTTGGAACTCTCTCCCATCCTTATGTTTTCCTGATTTATACAACCTATAACTTTTCATGTCTTCTGTCAACTTTTCCTTGCTCTAAAACTCTATTCTTTTTGTGTTCTAAAACCTAGAACACAAATTCTAAAGTGTTTATCTTTTAAAATAATCTAATGTTAGTAGATTCAACAAAATTTTGTTGAATTTCCACTCATTGATGAATTTATTTGTATTATAATTTATAAACAATAGCATTTCTTTGGGTTGAGGTAACAGTCTTAATTGCTTTTTCTCATATAATTCCATATTCAGATTGTAATCTCTTTGAAAATGCAAAAAATGCTAGTGGCACTAATAATTTAAGGGCTAGTTCTTTTAGCAGTATATGATAACCAACCATTTAGTATTACTAATACTATTGGTATATCTAATACTATTGGTATATTGTACTGTTGGTATATCTAATATTGTTGGTATATCTAATACTATTGGTATATCTAATACTATTGGTATATCTAACACTATTTGTATATCTAATACTGTTGGTATATTTAATACTATTGGTATATCTAATACTATCGGTATATCTAATACTATTGGTATATCTACTACTGTTGGTATATCTAACACTATTGGTACATCTAATACTATTGGTATATCTAATACTGTTGGTATATCTAATGATAAAAATACTTCAATATATCTAATGTTGGTATATCAAAAGCTGCCGTGACTTCCATGTCAAACACTCACAAATGAGTAACGACAGCAGCAGCATTAAGTTCAGTATTAAAATATTATAGGGTTTATTTTTTAAAAAGTTTTGAATTATTTAATACTAAATAAAAAATTTGGATTGTAAATTTTTTCATAAAAATCTTCAGAATTTTCTATTCAACTTGATAAAACTTTAAAATAGAACTTTCTATCCAACTCTTGTTGTGATAAGTTATTTTTTAGTAAACTTTATTTTAAGAAATTACTGTAACACATGTTGTAATTTAATGTGTTTTATTTTAAGGAACTACTGCAACAACTGTTAAAGCTAAGGACTCTGATCAAGGTTTGAACAGCATGATAAGTTACTCATTTGAATCCAATAATGAGGTTTCTCACTTTTTTATAAACTCAAGAACTGGGGATATTCTAACCACACAACTTTTAGATGCTGAGACCAAATCAGAGTACTTATTGAAAGTTACTGCCGCTGATCATGGCAAACCTAGCAAGTCAACATTTGTTACTGTTCAGATTAATCTTGCTGATATCAATGACAACAAGCCAATATTTTATGCAGCAAAATATAATTTTTTTGTGGAGAAATTTTTACATTCAAATCAGTTTATTGGAAAAGTAACTGCTTCAGATCCTGACATAAACACAAAGTTAAGCTACGGCCTGTCAAAAACATCTTCATTTATAAAGATAGACTCTGTTACAGGAATCCTATATCTAACAGGAAGTCCTTTACAAATGACAACAATTTTATTGGAGGTTATGGCTAGTGATGGTGTGCATGTTGCATTTACAGAAGTTGTTATAGATTGCTATGCAAGAAATGATTATCGCCCACTAGTTTTAGAACATATTGATGTTGCTGTTATGGAAAATACAATGAAGAATGTCATTATAGCAGAAATTAATCCCGTTGATAGAGATAAAGGTTTTTATGGTAAATTATCATATCAAATAGATTCACAGTTAGCTGCAAAATATTTTACTATTAATGAGCTTGGTAGGATTTATAGTACTGATTATTCATTGGATTGTGAGCTTTTTCAAAAAATACTTGTGCCTATTCGTGTAACTGATGGTGGAGGTTTGTTTTCTATTATTCAAGTAGTAGTTACAGTTGAAGATCAAAATGATAATGCTCCTATATTTGAATACCCATCTTATCGAGCAACAGTTGTTACTTCTCAAATGACTGATGAATCTTTGCTTAAAGTTGTTGCTTCAGATCCAGATAAGGGGTCGAATTCGGAATTGTTTTATGTTGCTCAAGGTTTACGGTAATTACTCATTTTGTTAATTTAATTATAATAACTATGATTATTACTAGTGAACAGGGATGCAAAGTCGGAGTCCAGGAGTTCCTGTTTTTATATAAAGTTTGAAGTCCTGCTCATCATAAAAAATGTTGGGACTCTGAGGCTGCAGGATTTTTTTATATTTATATTGGCACATAAATATTTCCTAACAAACCCTTATTAACTTCTATAAGTTTGTTACTTTAAATTTGTTTAGCTAACAGTTACATAACTTTAAACTAGTAAAAGCACAAACACATTTAATAACGCTGCGTATGGCGAGCCCTCTGGCATATAAATTAATTAAAAAACAGTGTGTTTATGGCATACATTCCCTATAACATACATTACTTTTAATGAATATAACAAATGGAATAATGAGGCAAATGATAGCATATGGAGTGTATACTTTTGTGTAAACGTTTGGTGTACACTGATAGATAAAAAGCTGTATATTGAATTATGCTTAGGTGCAAATATTTACACTCACAAACGTGTGTTGATGCCTAAGTAAGCTCTATTACCAAGGTTATTATTAAAGTAGAAATACCTTTAACTTAAAACAAATAGTTATTTTTTGAACAAAGAAATGAAATCAAAAATAAATTAATTTATTACAGCATAATTAAAATGTTAGTCTACTCTAGCATTTCATTTCCCTAAAAACTCTAGTTATTTGATTCAAAAAAGTTATACATAAGATAAAAAAAAGAGTCCAAGGAGCCCCTATTTTTTTGATGGTGGAGTCCCTAAAAATTTATGGGACTTTGCATCTCTGCTAGTGAAGTTAAGTGTTGAGTATAATAAGCTTGAAACCTATGTTTCATATGCATGTACATATATATATATATATATATATATATATATATATATATATATATATATATATATATATATATATATATATATATATATATATATATATACTACCATTCATAATTATTCGAATGACATTAGCTTTTTTTTTAAATACAATTTTTTATTTAACTATTTTTTATGTTTATTTTTGCATTATTAGATAATTTAAAAGTATTTTGGTTGAAATGCTTTGATAAAAATCATAAGAATAATAAAAATTCTAAAGTGGGCGAAACTACATAAAAAATGGACCATCAATGACTGTAAACGTGGACCGATGTGCCGAAGTTTTAAATATTTGGTTTCAAGATAAGATAGTTTGTCTGGAAAAAAGATCATTGAATTTATGATAAAATGTGTATTATTGACTGTAAAACATGGTGGATGTAGTGTTAAGGTGTTTTAGTTAGAATGCCATAGGTGACTTTGTGGAAATAGATGGAGTAATGACAAAAGTAGTTTACTTGTACACTTAAAAAATTATGCTACACCTTTGAAAAGATGGGTTAATGAGAAGCTATTCATTTTTTCAAAAGAAAATGACTTAAAGTTTAAATCTAAAACATATTTTTCAAAAACCTATTTAAGTTATTTGACTGAGTTCGAAAACAATCAAATAATAAATAAAATGATTTAGCCTCCCCAATCACAAGATCTCTCTCCTATCAGATTTTTATGGGAGAAATTATAAGTAATGTCAAAAACTTATGACAAATGATGCATAAGATGTGGACAAAACTTATTAGTTAGTGGCATAAAATTGACAAATTGGATAAGTTGTTAAGTAGAATGCCAAGAATATGTATGGCAGTTATTGTTGCTAAGGGTGATTAAAAGGCACATAAATTATAAATTAGTTTAATTGGACTTATATTGATTTTTTTTTGTAAACCTAATAAAAAGGAAAATAACATAAAATTCAGGTAGACTTTGCTCACAGTTTCTCTCCCAATAATAAATAAAACTGTGATATTATATTTCGAAAAGTACAACCATTCAAATAATTATGGACGGTAGTGTACATACACATGTATACATGCATATTCTAAATTTTGACTGTATATATGTGTGTGTATGTCAGGCTTGGTCGGGAAGTGGGTGCGATCGCACTCGATAACTGACCACAGAAATAATATTTAGTTGCGTAAAACCAGCTAGATTTTTTAGTCGTTTTGAGAACATTTCAAAAACAGACATAAAAGGGCAACAAGATTAACTGGACCGTTGAGAGACAGTTAAAAAAAGAAAACAGCTTTTAACGCAAAAAAACTTTAAGTAAAAAAATATGATTAGAGAATATATTTTTGAAACGTCGTTCTTTTATATTTTCTTTATAAAATCAGGCGACATTTTTTATGTAAAGTAACAACTTACTATTAATGATTGTTTAATAAGGAAACAAATGTTCTTTAATTTATCAAAGAGTATATAATTTTTATTTATACACTTATGTTTTATTTCCAGTGCTGGATTGAGGAGGTGGGGGAGAGGGTGATGGGGTAGAAGGGCTATAGCCCCGGGACTCACAATGTTAGAGGCCACAAAATAGTCAAAAGGACCATTCTGTATTTTTTTTAGTCATTTTTACGCTGTGGCACATAATTGATGCCACTAAAATAATGCAGCCCGCTGCCCTGAAAAGTCCAACAATATTCAACCAGTAAAACTAACGCTAGATGATTTATTTATAAATAAAAAGGTTTTTTTAATAACTGTTTTATGCTTTGCGTAGTTTGAAAAGTTTAACACATTTGAAACTATTCTTTTTAGTAAGATGAACAAATGAAATAATTAAATCATTGAGTTACTGTAGAAATTCAATTAACTAGATAGAAATTAACTAAAAAAGTTAAATTGCTTAGTGAGGAGGAAGCGGAACAGCTTCACATTACCGCTGATAATGTTTAGTGAGTGGGCTTTATAATTTTAATTTGTATTCAAATCAGAAAAGAGTTAAGTATAACCAGTTTGTAAAAATGGCTGAAGCAAAAAAAATTGAAGTTAGTTAACCAATTTCTAAGAACTTAAAAACTTTTCTTTCTAAGAACTTAAAAACATAAATTTAAAACATTTATTTTTGCAAACGATTAATGTTAGTTTAAAATATTTATAGCTTTGTAGATGTGGCTTCGAGAATGACATAGTATTAAAATAAAAGTTCGTTTGTTAAAACAATTTATGCTAGAAATCTCGACGAAAACATAACAAAACTCAAGTAATACAACTTTTTAAAATAATTCAACAGAATACTCTAGAACATTCAGTTAGTATTTTTTGAATACTCTAGAAATTTCCGCTAGCATTTTTTTAACCAATAAAATTAGTTTTTCGTAGATTTGGCGGATTTTTTGTGTTTGCGAATATTCTTTTTTTTATTTTTCCGCACAAATTTTGAGAACATTTGAGTTTATGTATGTTTCCGTGTGAGTCCGTAATACAAAATATTCTAAGATTTATGATAACTTAATAATTATTTTGCGGACAAACAAGGAAACATACATGAACTTGAATGTTCTCAAAACGACTAAAAAATCTGGTCGGTTTTTTGCAACTAAATATTATTTCCGTGGTCAGTTATCGAGTGCGATCGCACCTGCTTCCCGACCAAGCCTGGTATGTGTATGCATATGCATATAATATTGCATATTAAATGTCTTTTATTTGTTGATAGTTTCTGCCTTAAGGTAGATAGTATCTGTTTGAACCCAAATTTTTAATCGATATAGATCTAAAAGCCCTCACATGTAGCTATTTTACTATTACATCTATGTCAAAATATACATACCATTTAAAAGCAAATAGGATTTTGTTAGACACCTTTTTGTTTTGTATTGTTATTACTACTTCATCTACTTTTATTTTAATTTAGAGAAGGAAATGTTCCAATATTTATTAATGGATCTAATGGTTTGATCTCTTTATCTGGTATTCCTAAAGGGTTAATGTACCAGTTTTCAGTTAGAGTCACTGACAATGGATATCCTGTTCAAAAATCTGATACAAAAATTTTTATATTTGTAAAAGGTTGGAATGAAGAGGTCCTAAAGTTTGACAAAAATGTTTACTATGTTACTGTTTCAGAAAATGTTCCAGTGAAATCTCATATAATAACTGTTAATGCTTTGTTGCTAGGTGATAATGGGCGTTTAATATACACTATAGTTGATGGCAATCTTCCATATACAAATGTTTCACAATTTTTCAAGATTAATCCAGTCACAGGTCAGGTAAAAATAAAGAGCCAATTAGATTATGAAAATATCAAAAGACATAAAATACTTGTTTTAGTTACATCATATAAAGGTGATGTTTCTACATGCTATATTGAAGTGAATGTTACTAATGTAAATGACAATGCTCCAAAATTTTACAGCAGTTCATACAGTTTTAAAATAGCTGAAGATACTGAAATCGGAGAAAGACTTTTGCAAGTCTCTGCCTTTGATTTAGATGAGTTATATGCAGAGTCTACTTTAGTTTATTCAATTGTCTCTGAAAATAAAGATTTTTTTCAAGTAGATGAGAATACTGGCTGGCTGAGTTTAAAAAAAAAACTTGATCGTGAAGTTACAGGGTCTCATGAAATTTTGGTTGTTGCAACAGATATTGATGGAAAGTTTGATTCTACCAGAGTTCAATTATTACTTGTTGATGTCAATGATTCTCCCCCTATTTTTTTAAGTGCTTCTTATTTTGTAACTGTTAAAGAAGATGCTTTAGTTGGTCAAACAATACTTAAGGTTAAAGCTGTTGATCCTGATATTAATCAAAATCTACAGTATTTTGTTTTATCAAATAATTTTGATGATTTTACTGTTGATCGTCAATCTGGAAATATTAATTTGCTACAACAAATGACACAAGTTTCGTATAATTTTACAGTAGTTGCATATGATGGAATTCATACAGGAGCAGCTAATATATTTATCACAGTTCAGGACTTTAATAATCATGATCCAGTTTGTCTTTTGACTTTTTATGAAGCTGATGTTGAAGAAAATTCAGATTTGAAAAAAATTATTTTACGTGTTGCAGCTGAAGACAAAGATCCTTCTGATGTGTTAAAATATCAGATTCATGGAGATGGTAATGGAAAATTTTATGTTAATGAGAAGACAGGTGGGCTTTTTAGTTTTATAATTTTTAGTTTTAACAAATTCTTTAAAATTATATTAGAAAAAAAAAGTTATCATATTCACACTGAAATTGAATATTGGTTTTTAAATTGATCATAAATTATTATTTAGATAGTGAGTTATATTAAAATTTTAGTATATAAAATAATTTTAGTTATATATTTTAGTTATATGTATGTTTAATATGCTTAATTTAGGTGATCTTAAAGCATCTTCATACTTAGATTTTGAAGTTGAAACTAAGTATAGATTCAAAGTGGTTGTCATTGATCTTGCTGGCCATACTTGCACTTCTGATATATTTATTAGAGTAATTGACATGAATGATAATAGCCCTATTTTTTTGCAACCTCTATATAAAGCCACTTTGCGTGAAAATGCAACTTATGGTGTTGTTGTAACACAGGTTCATTTTAGCTACTTTTTATTATTTAACTCAATGCAAGTTTTTATTGACTATCTTTAGAATTTATCTTATATTGTTTTTTAGTTCTTTACACAGTAACTGTGTTGATTTTTTTATGTTTAGTGTTTACTATTAATCAGGAGGCTTCATCTCACTTCTCTACCTTCATCTACTCATGTCTCTATCAATTCTTCTCACTTTTCTCTCTCTATCTATTCTCCTCATTTTTCTATAAAAAAAATTGTACATAGACTTCTATAACTCTTAATGATGTTTAAATAATATCTACAAATATTTATAAATATACAATAGTTTATTTTTTTTTTTTTTAATAAAATATTTATAAAATAAATTTAAAAATTACTATTAATAATAAAGATGAAATCTTTTTTAAGGTTAAAGCGTTTGATAAAGATTCATTTAAAAATGGTCAAATTTCATATTCTCTGCTAAGCAACATAAACAATATCTTTGCAGTTCATTCTCAAGGTATTATTACTGTTAATAAACCATTAGAAATACAACGAAGTGCTAGATATACGATTACAGTTGTTGGAACTGATCAGGGTACACCAAGTTGTTCTTCAAATACAACACTTGATATCATTGTGATATCAAGTAATGATTCACCTCCACAATTTGATCAATTTGGATATTTATTTAATATCATAGAAAATAATAGTCCTGGAGTTATAATAGGAAAGATTAAAGTTACTTCAACCACCAACTTTAATATGTATGCAATTGTTATGGAAATTATTGATCCAACATTTGAAAATTTATTTTCCATAGAAGATAATGGGGATTTAAAGGTAAATATTTTAAATTTTTTAAAAAGAGTAGTTTGAAAGTTTCGTTTTTTACACTGAGCTTGCATTTATGTCAACATGACAATGAAAAAAGATTTTATGTTGGGTCTCAAAAAAACCAAAATTATATAAAAATTTTAAAACTATTATTTTATTAAAAAATTATAATTTTAGATTTTATTTTGTAGAAAATATTTTTAACTAAAATTAAAAAAAGTGCACTATCTTTACAATAATTTTTTAATTAAAATTATTTTTATCTTATTTTTTTTGTAAAATAATGATTCAGTTTGATTCAAATTGGGTTTAGGGTTCAGACTTGAAGTGGCTTCCCTAAACCCAATTGCATTTCGGAAAAATTTAACAGTGAGAACCAATAAAAACTTATGGGAATAGGGACAGATTATAGAATCGTATGATGGCTCCTACTTTTTTTTGAAAGTAGGGGGCATTGTATGATGTATAGAACTTGTTTTGGTTAGTTGCCAGGAATGGCAACCAATAGAAAGTGTATCTGTTACTTGGATTTTTATGCACAATAATAACTGAGTTCTGTTAAATCTTAGCTTGAGGAAAATAAATTTAATGTCCTAGAATGACCAACATCAATTCCCGATCTGAATCCAATCGAGAACTTAAGAAACAAATGATGGGGTGGATCTATGAAATAAATAAACCTCTGAAGTTTTAGGGGAAGTTTAAAAAGTCTGGAATGCCACTGCTGTTGAACAATATCAAAGGGTTGTTAGCAGTATGCCATTCTGATGTGATGAAGTAATAAAGAATAAGGACTACACAAAAAAATACTAATGATAGTTTTAATCTTTTTATGTAGACTTTGATACAGCAATATTTTTTGCTTAAAATTTCTATGATCATAACTTTTCATTGAATTAAATTATTTTCAACAAAAGGTAAATTTTAACTTTTTCAATAAAAGGCTAAATTAAAAGAAAAAGAAAAAAGAAATTTTTTTTTCTGCAATTGTTTTTTTTTTTTTTTTTGTATGATTGGTTTATATTTTTGATTCTGTGAGTGGTTTATATGTTTTTATTTCTGTGATTGGTTTATATGTTAGTTTTTTTTCTGTGATTGGTTTATACGTTTTTATTAAAATTCATCCAAAATAAAGTTCTTACTATACCTAAATTAAAAATGCATAAAAAGAAAGATTTTTTTGTCAAAAGGTTGCCACCATTATCAGGCTTTCTCGTAAGAGGCATGCGTGGTCATACGCACGCCTTGTATGACCACGCATATAGTTCTTTGTTATAACAACTTGACCACAGCTCATTGCAAGTTTTGATAATTAGCGCATTTAAAAATTGCGCTAAAAAAAAACAAAGCAAATTAAAATAAACAATTTATAAACTGAAAAGAGAATAAAATCCTTAAAGTAATATATATATATATATATATATATATATATATATATATATATATATATATATATATATATATATATATATATATATATATATAACAATAATTAATCGAAAAAAGTAAAATATTTAAAGGATGATAAATCACAGCTCTAATAATCTTTATCACCATGAATAAATAGGCTAATACAAGGGCGGATCCATAGTGAAAGAAAGGGTAATGAAATTTAATAAAATTTTGTGGTGCAAATTTAAAATTTCATTAAAAAGTTAATAGGATACAGGGTGCAACAAATCAACAAATGTGTGCGGATTTCTTTAAGACAGACAGAAAAACAAACATCACTTTTCTTTAATTTTGCTTATGCAAACATTGTCGTTTGATTAAGATTTTTCAAAACAAGTGCGTTACTTCAGCAATTTTTTCAAAATAATTTTGCGATCAATAGTTTTTTATTTATTACTAAAGGCATATATTTAAAATGAAAATAAAAAATAATTGCAGAGACTTTTTTTAAAAAATGCCAAAACATAATTACTTTTTTCAATTGTGTCACTTTTAAGTAAAATAAATAAAAAAAAGTAATTATGTTTTAGCATGGTTTTTGCATGCGCTTACAAAAATATGATAATTTTACTTAAAATAGATGCTTTTGCAAAAACTTCAAAAGAAACCGTCCTTAAACAATTTGATTGCTTTCTTTTATTGAAGAAAGCGATCGTAATGTTTAAGCTTGGTTTCTTTTCTGCTTTTAGCAATTACATTAAAAGTTTAAAGCAAATGATTTCATTATAAATAAAATTGTGCATGCTTTTTTTTTTTAATTTTCTTATTTTCCATAAACTGAAATAATGTTTGTTTGCATATTAAAAACACTTTTAAAAGTTTTTTATTGTGCGTTTATCATTAAATTGTGCGCGCTTTGCAAATGTGTAAAAAAAAAAGTTTTTGAAAAATAACAATTGAATAAATTTACCAAGCATCTTTGATATTTGATAACTTATTAACTAGAATAAAAATTATTTGAAATTTGTTTGACATAAATCTCTTAAATTAGACGTTCGTCAATAAATAAAGATACACAAGTCAACGTTCATTAAAAAAAACGGTACGTCACGCCCTGGGATAAAAAATAGTTGGCAAATGCGACTATTTCTAGATTATTGTAATTCTTTCTTTTTAGTGAATAATTTCTTTATTAGAAATTATAGTTCCATGATAAAAAGGTTTGTAATTATTTTTTGATAGCTTCTGTATTCATTTTGCCTTAAACTCTAAATATTTTTTTCAACGATTGCTTTTATTAAGTTGCATTAAAGTACTCAGGAAATTTTGTGGCAGTTTAATTGTAATTATGGAATCAATTAAATTAAAAATTGCATTTACATTTGCTTTGTTTTCTTTAAGCGCATTTTTAAAGCGTGCTAATTATCGAAACTTGCAAAGAGCCGTGGTCAAGTTGTTAAAACAAAGAACTATATGCGTGGTCATATAAAGCGTCCAATCGCACACCTCTTACGAGAAGGCCTGATTATTTTCCAGATATTTTTACAAACATTTTACAAGCCTAATTCTTTTTCCAATGTGTATAAATCATGCATATTTATTAAAATTTTACAATAACTTTTTTTAAAAGCTGGAAAATGCAAAAAGTTTACGATAATTGTTCTTAGAATAAAAGGAAGTCAATACTTCATAAAAATATTTCACAAATTTAAATTATTATTTGATATTAGAATAATATCATACTCTGAACATACATTGTTTTTGGACAATTTTTGTAAAGATTTTATTTTGTCTTTTTTGAATTTAAGTGGTACTTTTTATTTTTTACAATATAAGTGGTACTGTTTAGAGAATGTTTTCCTTATCTGGACACTCAAAAAATTGTAAAACTTTTTTTCGTGGAAAAAAAGTTTTACAATTAAAAAGTTTTATAATGAAGAATTGATTAAAAAACAAACACTTCAAGCAAATTCCCTACCAGGCCGTTTGGGAGTACTAAACTTTGATATTTGAGTGCATTTTTTTTGTTATCACCATTATAAACAACTCTCTTGCAAGCCTTCTGGGAAGAGTGTGCCATTGCACGCCTTGTAAAGCAATTTTTTTAGACACACTGACCATGACAGTTTGCATCTTTTAACTTTTTAAGTGTTTCAATAATTCGCGGCAAAAAGCTAAACTTATTTACTAAGAAAAAAACCAATTCTCAAAAAACGAAATAAAATTTTAACGAAATATTAAATTTTAATTAAATAAACTAGGAAAATTTGACAACTTAAAAAAAGAAAAATTAAAAAAAAATTTTTTTCATAAAATTTTTCTTTTCTTTTGTGTTCTTTTTTTTAAGGTGGTTGTTATTTTTAGCTACTGAATTTTATACAAGTTGAGGAAAAAAAACATATTTTATAACAATTTAAAGTTTTCATATGCAATTTATTCAGGATTTTTATTAGCTTGTATAATTAAGAAACTAATTTGCTATCTACGCTAGAACTATGAAAAATTTTGTTAATTTTTTTCCTTATATTTATTCGTTTTTACATCCTTTGCTTTTAAAAATGTTTTTGCTATATTTAACTTTTCAATACTTATATAATATAATATAACTTTTCAATACTTATATAATATAAAAATAAGAAAATAAATTTATTTGTTTGCTATTTATTTGTATAATATATTAATTAATAAATTTTGTGATGATGGAAAAAATTAAATAAAAGAATTGCGTGGTTTATAAATGTATTTTGCCCACAAACTTTTGTAGCATTGTCAATAACAATAGTTCATTAGGAAATAAACTATTGGGTTTAAATACACAATTTGGAGAGTCCAACAAAAGTGCATGCTATTTCAATGAGGGTAGTGAAAACAACCAAATATTTTATATTTGAATATAAGTATTAATGATTATTATTTTTTGAAAAATCATGAAAAACTTTTTAAAAGATGAAAATAAAAAATTTTACAAATAATTAGCAATTAGTTTTACTCGCTTTCCTGTGCATTGTAGAACAGTAAAGTTTAGCAAAAACATGTGAAAAACAAATTTCAAAATTGTCCATATTTCTAGCACAAATAATAAAAGTCACGAAAAAATTGTATATCAAAAAATGTTTTGGTAGTAGTAAATAACAAACGCCCTAAAAAGAAAGAAAACAACAAAAATAAAATATTTAGGTATAAGAATAAGTTAAAAATCAAATTATATATATATATATATATATATATATATATATATATATATATATATATATATATATATATATATATATATATATATATATATATATATATATATATATATATATATATATATATATATATTTATTTAGTTTAAATTATGGAATTTATATAGATAGAAATGATAGAATTATAAAATATAAGAAAAATAATTCTACCTCTAAAACAGCTCACCCCTAAAATAAAAATTTGGGACTTTATATTTCTTATTTTTATACTTTTATGCAATAAGATTTTTAATTTTCTTAAGCAAACATTTTTTTCTTAAAATTTAAAACAAAACAAAAGTAAACAAACCTGAAGGTTTTAGTTGGTTTTAGTTGGTTGGAAATGATAATGGTTTTAGTTGGTTTTATTTGGTTAGGAATGATAATGGTTTTAGTTGGACTGGTAGTATGTTATAGTAATTAAACACAATTTTTAATATTTTTTCCAACCATTACCATTATATGACCATGCTTAAATCTTTTTCAATTTTTTAAAATTGAAAAAGATTTAAGCATGGTCAAATAATGGTATTTTATATTTTTTGATGTAGTTTTTTGATATAGTTGATATAGTTTTCCATCCAATGCTGCTATGAAGGAAAAAGATGTTTATCAACTAAATTATTATAACTTGCAAATAAAAACATCTCATAAATATAGGTTAATCTTAATGTTTAAAAGAAAGTCTTTAATGACAGCAAATGCAGAGCACATATGAATTGTTTGCATTTAAAAAAGAATGCCAAATTTTTTAATAAAATAAGTGGAGAAATTTTATGCAAACAAAGTTTTGTTGTAATATTGTTTTTAGCATGTAATTTAACATTTTTTTAATATATGTATTAAAATTTATTGCAGGTTTTAAAAGTGTTGGATTATGAGGTTCAAACACGCTATGTCTTTAGCGTAAAAGCATCATACAAGAGCATTCCACTCTCTTCGATGGTTGTTGTAGAAGTTCTTGTTGATGATACTAATGATAACTTTCCACAGTTTAACCAAGCCGAATATTTTACTCAAATTGATGAGAATATAAGATCAGGAACCTTTGTGACACAAGTATTTGCACAGGATAATGATGGCTCAAAGGAAAACTCAAAAATAACATACAAGATTTTTAATGATTTGGATGTACCATTTTCTATAGACTTTCAAGGCGTTATTGTTGTTGATGGATCTATTGATAGAGAAATTAAAGATAAGTATGAGTTTGAGGTAATAGCAGTAGACAGTGGCACTGTGCAAAAAAGTTCCAAAGCAAAAGTCAAAATATCTGTAACAGATCTAAATGACAATGCACCAATTATTAGTGAATATAACACTAGTATAATTCTTCAAGAAGGGAAACTTCCAGGTACTGAGATATTAAAGTTGTCTATTACAGATCCTGATACAAAAAAAAATGGACCTCCATTTCACTGCTCTCTTTTTGGAGGGGACCATAGTATTTTTGAAATTCAAACAGATGATAATAACTGTGTGCTTCGTTCAAAAGTTTTTTTTACCGCAAAAGAAAATCCGCAGCACCAATTTGTAATAAGAGTAACTGATTCAGGTATTTAATTTCTATTAAAGAATATTATTATTAAAGAATTTTTTAAGAAAAATGTTAAGAATGCAATTTGATGCAAATCTGACAAAAACTAAAGTAAGTTATTTGTCTTATCCAGAGTAATAAAAACATGAAGCATTTTTTTTAATAATATTTTTTTTTATTAGTCTTTGTATATGTACTTTTTATTAATATAAGTTTAATTAATCAACTTATAATTTTTCAATAAAAAGTTTTGAAAATATAAATTCTGAATAATATATACTCTTAATGCTATACACATTTTTTGATTTAAAATATAATGTCCTCATTTTTTTATAAATCAAAAAAAAAATTTTTAATAAATATATATAGTTTATATCTTAAGATAAATGTGTGTATAGTATATATAAATATATATAAAAATCTGCAAAACGTACTTTTTTGTAATTTTAGTTAAACTTGGCGCATTTTGCAAATATGCTACTCATATATATATATATGAATATATATATATATATATATATATATATATATATATATATATATATATATATATATGTGTGTGTATATATATATATATATATATATATATATATATATATATATATATATATATATATATATATATAAATATATATATATATATATATAACATTAAAAGCACATTTAAATTCACTATCTAACATTATTATGATTTAGGGAGTTGTGAGGGCATAATAGCATAGGGGATGAGTTTTTTTTATTATTATTTTTTATTTTATGAACATCTTCGCCTCAAACAAGGCTGCAAGCAACCACTAATTAGAGTTAAAAGTTACTGGAAGAGAAAAGATGAAGATTGTAGAGCAAGATAATGATTGACAGACGACTTAAAAGATTGCAAATTTTATGAATCAGGAAAGCAAGATAAAGGAAACGAATTCCAAATAAACGATGTTCGAGGAAAAAAACTAGAGGAATAAGAGTTTTTGGAGCACTTAGGACTAGTAACAGAAAAAGGATGAGACTTAATTGAAAGACGAGTAACACAAGAATGAATTTTAGTAGATGGCACAAGAGACGCTAGCTCTTTAGAGCAGTGCCCATTATAGTATTTGTAGAAAAGAGAAAGAGAAGCAACATTATGATTTGATAATGGGTCAAGGTCGACTGCAAGAGCAGGTCCAACTATGTTTACAATGCGTTTTTGCACCTTTTCTAAAAAAGAAAGGGCATCATTAGAAGATCCGCCCAAGATAAGGCAAAAGTATTCCATACAAGGCCTGATTTGATATTTTTAGAGATAGAGAATAGAATCTGGATTAAGAAAGTGTCGAGCTGGTCAAACTTAGCAGATGCTAATTCTGGAACAGATTTGATATATGCTTTCCAAGAAAGATTGGAAGTAAGAGTTAATCCTAGAAGATGAAGGGTAGATGACTCATCGAGTACATTACCGTTCATAAATATAGGAAGGTCGAAATTATTGCGATATTGATTGGCTGAAAAAAATTGAGTTTTATCTGAGTTAAAGTTATGATAATAAGTTGACCGTATATACATTGGCTGGTATAAAGAAAACATACAAGAAAGTTTTTGCTGCATCAGCCAAGGGTTTGAATTAAGGCAGCAATCTTTTTTTATCACTCTTTTTTATTTTTCTCTTTTTTTTGGGAAAACACCTAATTAACTTAAATCAGCAAAAAAATGTTGGTAAATTTTACATACATGTATGTGTGTGTGTGTGTGTATATATATATATATATATATATATATATATATATATATATATATATATATATATATATATATATATATATATATATATATATATATATATACATACATACATACACCTAGAGTAAAGGGCTTAGATATACAGTTTGTGGTAAAAAACTGCTCTTCAATTATCTGTGGTTTTTGAACTGACAAAATCAAGGTTAGATTATAACAAAATGCATTAATTTAATTGTGGAAACTAATTAAGATTAAAAAACCACAAAAATGCAAATTAAAAGACTGAATAAAACAGATCAAGTTTAAAAAGATTCCGAATGTTTTTAAAAACATTCTGAATCTTTTAAAACTTATTCTTAATGTTTTTAAAAACATACTGTTTTTATTTTATTTTTTAAAAATAAAAACATTCTGAATGTTTTTATTTTTATTTTTTTACTGTATAATATGCGCAGAGTGTTGCGACATCGACTATCTTATAGCTTGTTGCTACAAGGGAATGCTGCTACATTGACTATTTTATAGCCTGACTCGCTACGAAGTGCTGCTACATGGGCTGAGGGTTTGGTTTGGGCTATTATATGATTAAAATAAAAAAATTGTAAAGTTTTTAAATTTTTCCTGTCTTTTAAAAGAATTTTTTTTTAAAAACAACCTAAAAGTGACATTTAATGGTAAAATTTTGAAAACAACAATGCATGAGTGTGTGTGTGTGTGTAATATTTGTATAACGAAAACAGGTTATAGCTAAAAAACGGTAATAACTTTGAGGGAAGAGAACTTAATTTAAAAAAGAAAAAATAGAGTTTTAGGTGGGCAATTTATTTGCATATTAATTTTTTTCAATCAAACAATTGCGTCTTATGTAATCTAATTTGCGCCGAGTTGACTCAGAAAGGCGCTGTACAAGAGATTTTTCTAATACTTTATTCTGTTGTTCAATTTCTCGAAATTAATAGCTTTTCAATTATTCTCATACACTTTTCTTTTGAGAAAACTCCAAAAATTTTCAATCGGGCAACATTCAGGCACATTTGCAGGGTTATCTTCTCTTTTGACAAAAATGATCTTTTTTTTCATTCGTGTAGTTTTGTACAGATTTTGCATAATGAGATGTGCCAGATCAGGCTAAAATATGTATTTACCATCAGAATGATGCTTTTTGATAAATGTAATTAGTTTGTTCTTGATACAACCATTTTTATAGACTTCTTGGTTGATTGCAAAGCCACTTTCTCTAAATATTGGCGAAGATATTCCTTTATCGGAAAAGCAAATCCAAACGAGTAATTACTTCTCATATTTTGCAGTGGGGTTGAATTTGACATTTGAATGATAAATATCATTTCCATCAATCAAAGAGTGGTTAAATGTGAAGTACGACTCGTCGTCAAGGATTAAAAATTTATTTGCAGAAATTCGATACAGCCAACTACAATTCATTCAAACTGTCCCTATTTGGTCACAAGTTCTTAATGGAATTTTCTTCTTTTTCTTTGGCCTGATTAAGGACTTTGTTTTTAATATTTTGCTGAAATATACTTGGGTGCACTTAAATTTCCAAGCTGCTTGTGATGTGGAATGCCGTCTTTGTGGTCAAACAGTGTTTTAAGTCTTTCAATGTTCCTTTTTGTTATTATTTTAGCAATCCTACCACTTCCAGGGACTCTTTGGTGCCCCAGAATTATTTTCAGTGTGTCAAATAATGGTATAGATGGTTTTAATGCAAATTTTTTCAGTAAGAAAGTGATCAACTGTAAACTTATATATGTGTACATTTATATAAAAATTCTTTGGTCAATATATGATCACTCCCTTTTTTGTGGTTTTTTAAAAAGCTTTTTTAAAATTAATTTAAATGTACTTTTTCAACTACTATATTGTGTTAACATTTATATTGTGTTAATAATTACTTAACAATTCTGTCATATATATTTTAATATATGTTTAACATTTAAGCAACAAGTTGCTAAAATGTTAATGGTCCCTAAATATATATATATATATATATATATATATATATATATATATATATATATATATATATATATATATATACTATATATATATATATATATATATATATATATATATATATATATATATATATATATATATATATATATATATATATATATATATATATATATATATACATATATATATGTATATATGTATGATAATTTATATATATATATATATATATATACATATATATATGTATATATGTATGATAAATTATATATATATATATATATATATATATATATATATATATATATATATATTAGGCGCTTTTTTAAAAAGAAACAGAAAGTTTGTCAACTTAACGATTTTAACGCATGTACATATATTTCAACTTGACGTCGTAGAAATAGTATAAAAAAAATTTTATACGCATATTTTAAAGTTTATTTGTCATTTTTACATATATTTATATTAAAAAAATTTGTAAAAACATAGAAATATTAAAATACAAGTTTATATATTTATTATTGTTGACTTGACGCAAGGTTTACGAGTAGAATAAGTCTACTTATAGTTGAAAAATAACATATTATATAATGTCTAAATGTTAATTTTTTTTTAAAACTGGTCGTATAATATTTTAACTAAATAGTTTATCTATATTTTAAACAAAAATTATAATAAATATATCTTTATATTTCAAACAAAAAATGCAATCTCTTAAATATCGACCTATAGATCGTATATGTAACACGAGTAAATATGCGCGCTTTTAAAAAAAGTTATTGTTTATAGTTTTCCGCAGTTTTTTTTGTTAACGATTTTCATAGAAATCTCTTGAATATAATTTAGACATTACAATGGTATCTTTTTTTTTTAATTTTCATTGAACTAATCGTTACTAAAATTCATTCCAATGTATAGTCGACAGGAAATCTGTCGACTTATAAAAAGTGTCAACCTGACGATGGTTATAGAGACATAGTTTGTCGACTTTGGGCTGACCTAGTCTTATATATATATATATATATATATATATATATATATATATATATATATATATATATATATATATATATATATATATATATATATATATATATATATATATATATATATATATATATATATATATATATATATATATATATATATATATATATAGGGTAAATGGGGTATATATATATATAGTATATATATAGGGTAAGTGGGGGCATAACTGCCCCCGTAATCTTTGGATTAATGTTATATGAAGATAAAAAGGAAAAGTGTTTTTTTAACAGTTTATTTCAATAACCACATCATTAACCTTTAAATTGATGCAATTAAGAAAAAAGTTAAATGGTTTTTGAAGATGTTATTACACAAAAAGTACAATTAGTGGAAAAAACGATTTTGCCCCCTTTGGAGGCACAACCGCACCCTCACAAAAATCAATGGGGGTACATCTTTCATGGTACATTTTCTTTAAAATTTTCTCAGCTCAGATTATTTGATGATTTTGTTGCATGTTTGCATACTGTACAAGCATTCTTTGTATTTACATTTTGAGTTCTGCCCCAGAGAGTTTTTAGAAAGAATTCATTTTCATAGCTTGTTTATTAGATTATGTTGATATCAAAAATTTTCACTTCATGAAGTAATGCTTTAAATTAAATAGTTTATCACTGGGTAATTAAATTAGTTTAAATTGCAAACTCTGACGTAATTATATATAATACTGATTTCATAAAAAGTTATATGCAACGACTTTACTAATACATGCAATATGCAATGACTTCATGGAAGAAACCTATCGTTCCTTCCATGACACAAACTTTGAATGCTTTTAACTGAATAATTTTTTATTTTACTAACATTGTCTTTACTCAAATAATTGCGCTAACTAAATTTTTTTAGTTAATTTTGAATTTCCTATTTAGTTTACAAAGGTCAATCTTTTTAAATATCAAGACTTTACAATCCTGCCCAACTGCCTGAAAAAATTTTTATTTAATATATAAAATATGAAATATAGCTAAATACTAATTTTTAATTTATTTATTTGATATTTTAGTCTGATAAGCTTAGACCCTTGTTAGACATAAAATAAAATATGTAAAATAAAATTTGTTTTTGTTAAATGATCGGAATAGATTTTAAGCTGTATAAAACTATTTTTGTGGTAATTGGATGCATAAAAAAAAATTCTGATTCTACGAACATACAATTTAAAAACAAATATAGAATAGAAAGTTTGCTTGACTACTCACGTTCAAGCATTCAATGTTCCTTACCAAAAAGAATTTGTACCAATTGTAGTCTATATTTTGCCACTATCAAATCAATAAAACAATATAGTTTGATCAAGTTATGGATTATCAAATGAGATTCAAAAAGTTAAATCTCATCGCCTAGTTGCTCAACATCTATCTGAACTCATGGGCGTCTTTTTAAATTCAGACAAAAAAACAATTAAGTAGTCTCAATTGGCCTTCAATAGTTATTGAAGAACATGGAACTCCAATACTTAAAGGTCAAAGTCTGATTTGGGAACAAATTTAGGTCTTACAAAGAAACATATCAATTGTATTTTTTTTAAACATTAACTGTTACAATTAAATAAAAACTTATGAAAATTCCAAATTTTGTCTTTGTCACGTCAAACAGGGGTGGGGGGTTGGTGGTTAAAAATGCCACAAAATGTCACATAGGGGGGAGGAGGTGTTCAAGAAAAAAATGCTAGTTGCAGATAAATTAATTATAATTAACATTATTTTTTATAAATTTTATATAAATTATATATGAAAATATAAAAAGTTAATTGATATAAAAAAACAAGAAAACAAAAAAACAATTTTAAAGAGTTTGCTATGGCAACAAAAATAATGAAATTATGCCCCTTTCTACTCTAAATTAAAAAAAAAAATACATATAATAAATAATTTATAATAATTAATATATAATAAATAGTATATGATAATTAATATATATAATAAGTCATCTATAATTAATGAAGAAAGAAAAGAATCCCCAGTTAATCTATGTACTAAAGCTCTGCACATTTCTACTTTAATATGCACAACTTTCTACTTTAAACGCACATAAAATATCATGTAGGTTTTCCCATAAACAAGCTTAAATCCCAGATTTAAAAAAATAAAATGGAAATCTGGAAAAGTTTAAAAGCTGAAAAAAGATTTTCTTTAAAATTCTTGCCTAAACTTTTACTTTTAGTATCCCTATATTGCCTAAACGCTTAGTTTTACCCATGTTATATATATATATATATATATATATATATATATATATATATATATATATATATATATATATATATATATATATATATACATATATATATATATATATATATATATATATATATATATATATATATATATATATATATATATATATATATATGTTTGTATTTTTTTTATTAGGTTTTCCAAAGCAATATAGTGATTCAAAAGTTAAAATTATTGTTGTGAAGGAAAGCTATAATTCTCCTGTTATACAAGAACCAAAGGTGTTTTTTGTAATTGTATCTAAGCCATACGGTGTTACATTGATAGGTAAGGTGAGCATATTTGATAAAGATGAAAACGATATTCATCAGTATCGTTTAACTGGGGGTACAATGTTAGAGTATTTTTCTATCCAACCTATGACTGGTGTGATTGAGGGTAGGCCTAAAAAAGGTATTTACACATTATCAGTTGAAGTAACAGATGGCAGAAATTCAGATGCAAGTTTGTTTCAAATCATTGTGAATGAGCGAGATCATGAGGTAGAGATACAAAGCATAGTAATAAGTATTTTTGAAATGGGTGTTCAAGAATTCATGTCCAAGATGACACAATTTATAAAAATTCTTTCAAAAATAACTGCTACTAGTTTAAACAGTGTATTTCTTTGGTCAATACGAGCAGTTCATAACAGTACTGGCTCATTGCGCAAGAGAAAAGATGTTGAAAATACTGTTGAAGTTGCAGTTGCTGTAAAGTTAGAAGATACTTTAGTAATAATTTGTTGTTGTTTTATTTTTCCGTATATTTTTTATGCTTTTTAATTTTTTAGCAAACTAACTCTTTAAAATCTTATAAAATAGTTTATAAACTTTTTATTTGAATATTTTTATCATAATTTATTCTTATTATATCTTATTCTTATTATAATTTATTCTTATTATAACAACCCTCAGAATTAGGGTTGGCATTCGGCACTACTGACCTAAACGTGTTTGCGGTCGGCAAAAAAAATTTGGTTTTGCCGACCTCGTTTCAATGTTTAATGGTAAGACCTTTGCATTTGCCGACCTGATGCCGACCTCTAGAAGATTGAGGTCGGCAAATTATTGCCGACCTTAATTTTCCTAATTCCGAGGGTTGTCATAATTTATTTTTATTATAGTTTATTCTTATTATAGTTTATTCTTATTATAGTTTATTCTTATTATAATTTATTCTTATTATAGTTTATTCTTATAATTTATTCTTATTATAATTTATGATTAAATCTTTTACTTAAGAGTTAAAATTCAGTAAAAAAGTGTTTAAAAACTCTGCGTATTAGAAATTTTATTATTGAAAGCTGTTCAAATAGTTTATTAATGAAAACTTCTGCTTTAAATCTGTTTTAATGCAATAACAACTTCCAATATAACTTTAAAAAAGTAAAGATTTTTAAAACTTTTTTCTTAAGCTTATTTTAAACTTATAAATTATAAATTTATGAGCCTCTGTTTTGATTTTAAGCTGTAAGACTGTATAATGAGCCTCCATTTTGATTTTATAATTTGGATACTGATAATATGAGCCCTGGTAAAATAATTTAAAAATACTTTATAAAAATTTTTTTTGTTCAAATTTATTTACCAAAATCATATTTTATAATAAAATATTTTATTAACATTACAATTACAAATTTGCTCATGTTTCACTAACCAGCATATTAATTGTATCCACATTTTGCCAGCATTAAACCCAATGATCATTACATTTATTCAATAATTACATTTATTTGATAATAGCGGATTGCAAAACAGACAAAGCTTATTTTTTACTCTTATAAACCAATCACTAGTGGAAGCTCTTAAATCACTTATCAATAGTAGGCTCATTTTACAATGATTGAGTTGGTTAAAATTATGCATAAATAATCTACCTTATTGTCAACAGCATTGCACTTTGTCTAACATAAAATATCAAGACATGAATCAATTAATACCTGTAATTAATATGAATTTTAACATTTTAACATTTAAATGAGAAATAAATATGAGTATATCATAACATTGATGTAAATAAAAATTGATAACTATAAAACTGTTATTTCAAGAAGAAACACAAAATTTTAATTTTTGTTTTTGCATTTGTGTGCTTTTAGCAATGACACTGTGTGTTAAAACTAATCATTTCTTTGATTGAGGAGAGGTATCAGGGGAGCTCATGATGATTACATAGCTCATAATACCACTTTTACTTCTATTAAAGTATGTTTCAAATGTTCTAAACGAAATATCTTGAGGTTTAAAATCTAATAAACACACTAAGTGGGATTAGATAAAATGTCTTATTAGTCAAATAAGTGTTATTCTTTTTTGAACAAAATTGGCTTGGTAGTTATTAAAGAAATTCTTGAAAATTATTTTGAAATTTATGGACATACAAACAAGTACAACTAATATTTGTTCTTTTTTTTTTATGGACATACAAACAAGTCTAACTAATATTTGTTCATTTTTTATGGACATACAAACAAGTCTAACTAATATTTGTTCATTTTTTATGGACATACAAACAATTCTAACTAATATTTGTTCTTTTTTTTTTCAAAAACAGTTACAAGTAGTAAGAATAAATATGAAAAAAAATTGAAATATTACATAAGTGTAAAACGTTAATACTACATGATTAAAAAATTAGAGGGAACAAAGTGAGATTTTTACAGATTTTGTTAACAACAATGTTGATTGTTAACAACTCTCTAGTTAACAACACTGTTGGTTGTTAACAAATTGATAACAAGTTTTTAAATTGATGTAGTTGAACAAATTTCAAATTACTGAGGTTTTCACATTTACTTTATTTTATTTATTTTTTTCCTTTTTTTTTAACAAGAAGTACAAGCATTTTGTACTTTATTGCTCAATATGTAGAGACCATAAACAGTTGATTTTAATCTTGAATATAATTGTATAAATTAAGTAAATATAGAATAATATTGAATTGAAAGTTTTAAATAAATTCACCATAAAAATATTTTATTATTATTTTGTAGAGTTATATGGACATACAATTGCTGAAGAAATATGTGGAAGATAATAAAGCAGACTTTAAAAATAATGACTTCAATATATTGGTTTCTAATACAGAATGCACATTAAAATCTTGTGGTGAAAATATGAAGTGCTTAGTTAAATTAAATCCTATTGAAAATTTATCCCCATTTGTTCCTTCGGGATATATGGATTTTCGACGAACTGAAAATTGCTATTGTAATGATGGCACTGAAGGTATATTCATATATGTATATATATATATATATATATATATATATACATATATATATATATATATACATATATATATATATATATATATATATATATATATATATATATATATATATATATATATATATATATATATATATATATATATATATATACAGTGGTGGAAAAAGTAACAAATACACTCTCTAAACATTTTGAAAAATACTTTTTATTCACAGTAATTGATGTTAACTGATATTAATTTTTATGTTTTTATAAACTTTATTGTTAAATATTGTATTTTTAAAAAAGTTATGAAGTTTTTTTCAATTTCTTTAATGTTACTAACAATTTTGTTTAAAGTTTGCGAAAATTTACTGGAAAAAATAATAAATACAGAAATGTTTTATTTGATCGTATATTTGAAAAAATCAAGAAAATTCAATGTTTATAAAACAAATATTTAACAAAAATAATTAAAAACAATTAAGAACAAAAACAAACTTTTCTTTTTTTCTTAAAAAGGTTTATCAATCACTTCAGACAATATTTACAAAAATTGCCTAATATTTTGTTGCAGGTCCTTTTTTTTTTTAACTTCGATTAGTCTTTTGGGCATGCTGTGGACCAATTTATGACATGTTGATAGTGGAATAGCGTACCATGATGTTTTCACAGCCTCCCTTTGGTTCCGAGGCTTCCTCATCCTTTACAATTTTCCATAAATTTTCTATTAGATTTAAATCTGGCGATTGTGCTGCCCAGTCCAATTGTCTTATACCAATATTTTGGAACCATCTCTTTGTGATAGAAGCTGTATGTTTTCGATTGTTATCTTGTTGAAATATCCAGAGCAGTGGCATGTTATCCTCAGCATAAAGAAGCATTATTTCTTCAAGTATGTTAGTATAAATATCAGCTGTCATAGTGTCTGTTATTAAATAGATAGGACCAATACCAGATGGCAAGAAACATCCCCACACCATAATGCTTTCACCACCAAATTTCACTGTTTTTTTAGTGTAATGTGGGTTAAACTCTTTATTTGGTGGTCTGCGGACAAACTGCTTACCATCTGATCCAAAGATATTAAATTTAGATTAATCTGTCCACAAAACTGTTCTTATTTGTCCATGCAGAATATTTATGACAAAACTCTTTTCTGGCTTTTTTCAATAAAGGCACACTTCTAGGTGATCTTGAAAACAAGGTAGCAACAAGAAAATACTTACAGATTAAAAGTAAGAGGCAATACCTTCAATTTCAGCAATCTTTTTTACTCTAATTGTAATTAATTAACTGAAATGATATTAATATAATACATTAGTAAACTGTAAATAAACAACTGAACATACGTAAAAAATTTATTGAACAAACTATGTTTCGAAATATAAAGTAAAATATTATTGAGTAGTGTAGGAAGGTCATATCAGTTTGATAGAAGTGACTAAAACAGCCATGGTTGGAGATTTGAAGTGGAAGGGTGAGGGAAGTGACCCTCCTTTTAAATAAATATGGGGGAAGAGGCTATTACCCCTTCCAAATCCTCTTCCTACGAGGTATTAATAATAACCGGAGTCAAACACATGTTTGAAAAATAGTAACAGTTGAAAATTAAAGAAAAAAAATCATTACTGTATTATCATTAGTTGAAAATTAAAGAAAAAAAATCATTACTGTATTTCTGGCTACTTTAGACAAAATTGTTAGTAACATAAGAAAAATTGAAAAAAAATTCCTAATTAAAAAAAATATATAATTTCTAACAATAAGGTTTATAAAAAAATAAAAATTAGTATAAGATAACATCAATTGCTGTGAGTAAAACGTGTTTTTATAAAATTTTAGATAGTGTATTTATTATTTTTTCCACCACTGTGTGTGTGTGTGTGTATATATATATATATATATATATATATATATATATATATATATATATATATATATATATATATATATATATATATATATATATATATATATATATATATATATATATATATATATATATATATATATATATATATATATATATATATATATATGTATATATATATATATATATATATATATATATATATATATATATATATATATATATATATATATGTATATATGTATATAATTTTAATTTTCTTCCTTTAATGTTCTTGCTTTCCAATAAATTATCTCTTAACTCTAAAAAAACAGAAATTATTATATTTAAATCTGTTCAAACAAAAATAAATAAGCAATTAAATTTCAGATTAAGTGGGCAGAAAATAAATCCAGTTAACTCTATTAAATATCTTGGAATCAAAATAGACTCTAATTTATCTTTTGCATCGCACCTTCAAGACTTAGCATTGAAGTTAAGCAGAATGGTATTTTAGCTAAAATTTATCATCATGTTAATCATGAAACTTTGCTTAGTATATCATGCTTTTTTTCACTCTCATCTCAGATATGCTTGCCAAGTTTGGGGACAATCTAAGCAGCTTACTTTTTTAAGACTAACTTATCTCCAAAACAAAGCTCTAAAATTAATTTACTTCCAACATACTAAGTCGAACTGAAGCATACTCTATTTTTTATCTAAAGTCCTTAAATTATGTGACCTTATTCAGCTATCAAATTGCCTATTTGTTTGGAACCAAAATCATAATAACCTACCTCTTACATTTATCAACTTTTTTAGTTATAGGGAAAATTGGAAATATATTCTACAATCTGCTTTCAACTTTAAATTATCTGTACCTAAATACTGAACTGTTCATTACGGCTACAAATCCATACAACATAAAAGCATACGAACCTGGAACAATCTCCCTTCCCAAATAAAATCTCTTAAATCATTCTCAAAATTTAAAACTGCTCTCTTTAACCATTTTTTAGAAAAATGTTGTTTATAAATCTTTATATCTTTTCACAACTTATTACTTATAACCCTAACGCAGAGCTTCTATTCATCTATTATTTTTTCTCTTTTCTATTATGGTGTATTACTAATTTTAATATCATTTATTAAATTTATTATTTTTAACTGAAATGTTTCAATAGTATTTTCTTTACCACTATTGTTGTTATTATTACTATATTTTTATCATAATGAATATTATTATTGTTATTGTTGTTATTATTGTTGTTGTTATTATTTTGGTTGTTATTATTATTATAACTAGTTTTATACTATTATTTTTATATTATTATTGTTGTTGTTATTGTTACTATTATTATTATTGTTACTATTATTATTATTATTATTTTTATTATTATTGTTATTTTTAATATTATTATTATTATTATTATTATTATTATTATTAATATTATTATTATTGCTATTATTATTATTATTGCTACTATTATTTTTTTTATTACTATAATCACTACTATTACTTTATTATTCCTACTTGTATTATAATTATTATTAATATTTCAATCTTATTTTTATTTAGTCTGACAGTTGTTTACTTTATATTAGTACAAATTACTATTTGTAAATATCCTTGATATATATAACAACTATATTTTTTGATTTGATTTCCTTGATATATATAACAACTATATGATTTGATTTGATTTCCCAAATAATCTTTTTTATGGTTTCTAAACCTTAAAAGTATCTTTTTTAAGGTTTTATGATATGCTGATCCATATTGATAAGGTTTCTTTTTATCAATGCTACTCTGATTTTGATGCATTTGCATGTTTATTTGCATTTTATTTTACCTACATAAACTTTGGAACAGTTGCATTTTATATTACCATTTTAAATCAAAAAAAAATTAAATTTATAAATGCATTTTGAATTGAGAAAAAATGAGACTGAAACATTTTTAAAATGCGACTGTAGCGTGTAATTTTTTTCAATTTTGTTTTAATTCAAAAATGTATTTTGAATTGAAAAGAAAATGTGCTTCAAAATCTGACAACAATGTTTTAAAAGTATATTAAAGTATAATCAAAATTCATATTTAGGTATAATTAAATTATTATTGATGTTATAAGGTAATGTTAATAAGTAACACTTTGAAACATTTTAAACTGCGTGCATCTCTAATTTAATTTCAGTTGGCTTCCTTTTATTACATTTAGTAATGTTATATAATGCACAAAAGTGTATTTATTTTTAAACTAAGTGTATAATTTACATATATCTTTTAAACAACGTTTAAAAGATATATTAAAATTTTAAATGCTTTCTTAAAGGTTTCTATATACACTTAATAATGCGTATTTAAATCAGAAATTGTAAACTAAGCTGCTGATTTAAATCTCTATGGCTCTTTTAAAAGAAAAAAAAACCAAGCATAATGAAAAAGATTGTTGTCCAAACCCTTAGTTGATGTGGAAACACTCCTTTGCAGGTTTTTTATTTCCTATTTAGTCAGTTGATGTATGTACTGAAGCCTCCACCAGCTGGCTATTTCAGTATCGTGTCACATTTCTTATCTAAATACGCAACGCTATTAGGAACATTGTAAGCATTGGCATAAGTGCAAACTGGCATTAGTGCGAACTGGCATAAGTGCGCCGGATGAATTTACAAAGATTGGCATAAGTGCGGATCTGTATGCCAATGTTTTCAAATTCTTTTGGACAGTTTTTGCTAATTTTTTCAAAACGCATATACCAGTTCACACACATGCCAAATTATGCTTTGCACTTACACCATTTCACAGTTATGCCAGTTTTTACAACTGCTTTGCACTTACGTCAGTGTTTGCAAATTCTTTTGGCGCACTTATGCCAAATCGCACTTATATCAATGTTTACACCTTCTTTCATCGCACTTATGCTGATTTGCACTTATTCAGTCGCCCCTGTGCAACCACTAAAAGCACTTATTTCTTTGCAAACTTTTGTTTCAGTAGATAGATAAGAATTGAAGGTTCCAATCTGAACATTTTGTAGAAAATTTTTTTTAATTATACAACCCTAATAAATTAAAGAAATGTGAAAAAAATTAAGTAAATCAATTTCTTTACAGGTTCAATATGCCATTCTGTTAATCCATGTTCACGTAATCCATGCAAAGGTGGAGAGAAGTGTGTTGCAACAAAAAACTCATATTTTTGTGAGTGTGTTGATTCCGAAAAATGTGGACTGAGTAAGTTTGATTTTTAGTTATTGTTGTTGTTTTTTTTTTTGTTTTGTTTTTTTTTGGGGGGGGGCGGGGGGGATTTTTGTGTTAAAAAGTGTTTGTTCTCCGTTATAAAAAATAAACCTACAATATTTATAAGAAAATAGTTAAATCGTCTGTAATTTTATGTATACTTTCTGTATTTAATAATATTTTTTATATAATCTCTCTCCTGTACTTGATAATATTCAGATATTTTTTTAAAATGTTTAATTAAATCATTTTGATTTTGTGTTTTTAAAATTTTTAATTAAATCCTGTTTGATCTTGTGGGTTGTAAAATCTGATAATAATTATTGGTTGCATTTAAACATTCTCATAATTTGGTAACTGAAAATTAAATTTTTTTTTTAAACAAATTCACTTTTAACAAATTTGTGAGCAATTACTTATTAGGTTGTAATAAGACAGAACAAAGATATATGAAACAGAAAAATGAAAAAAAGAAAACAAAGCAAAGAGAAAGCAGTTGACAGGCAACTTAAAAAAAAATTTCAATATTATTTAGGTATTAAAACTGTAAACTGTATTAATCAGGAAAACATGACGACAGGAGAGGGTTCCAAAGTAAAAAAGGAAAAAAACTAGATGATTAAAATCTTTTTTAGCTTGAAGTTACAGTTACAGAATCTAACTTAACAGATACAAAATGAGTCATACCAGATTGAGTTATTGTTGATGCAACGAGGCTACTTTAGTTGTGGTTACAGCTCTCTCTCAACTATAACTCTGAAACACGAACCACTACAAAAAAAAGGCCGCTATGCGGAAAAACAAGTTGAGCGTGATACTAGCAGGGATGTGGTAGGGATTGAATTAAATTCCTACCACATCCCTGCTAGTAAATAAATTTTTTAAAATTATTTGTTTTAAAAAATTTATTTAAATATAACAATTTAAATAAATTTTTCACAGTTAAATTATAATTAACAAAAAAAACAAAAAAAATTTAAAGTATAATAACTTAAAAATTTGAATTTGTAAATTTGCAAATTATGAATAATAATTTATATAAATAAATTTTTTATTGTTTAATCCTGTTTTATTAAACCATCCAGCCGTTTTTTGAGTTTTATATTTACAATTGTACGTTATTGAAGCAGCATTTAATATATTTCTTTTAATGTAGGTGGTGAAAGTATTACATTGAATGGAAACTCTTATATAGAGTATAAGCTGTCTAAATCATTTGATGAGTTGTTTCATTCATTATCATTGCACTTTCGAACTGAATACAAGGAAGGCTACCTAATATATGCTCAAGCTCCTGGAAAGGATTATTTTATTGTCGAAGTAAAATATTATTATTTTATTGTTCAAAATACATTTTGTGCAAAATTTTTTTTACTTTATAAGTTTATTCCATCTAAACATGCGTTGTATAAAATAAAAACTGATTATAATGTTTAATAAATGAATAATAAAATTTTACAAGCTTTATTAAAAAACTTGCCACTATAAATAAATTCAAGATATCTCATAGGTTTATGGAGGTTATCTTCAAATAAACTTTGATTTTGGAAGTGGTCGTGGTAACTTGCAAAATAAAAAAGTAAAAGTCAATGATGGGAATTGGCATTACATAAGTATCCAGCGTAACAACAACAAAATATCGATGTACTTAGATTTCAATAAACAAAGTTTGCAGGCAAAAGCACCTGGTAATAGTGCAAACATTAATATTGATGGAAGACCTCTGGTGCTTGGTGCAGGATTTACTGATTATGGTAAATATTCATTTTTATACGTTTTTTTTTTTTTTGAAGTATTAAAGTTGCAGATTTTCTTGTTTATAACAATTATGAAAAATATAGTATTATGGTGGATATAGTTATTTTTAATATATATTTTTTGCATTATTGTAATAAGAATTAAATAGTAAAAATTAATAATTATTATATTAAAAATATTTTGGTTAAAAAAAAAAAATTAAAGATCCCAACTAGGCTGCAAGCCACTATTAAGTTAAGAATTTTTTTCTTTCTTTTTTTTTTTAACATCTTCGCTTCCAACTAGGCTGCAAGCAACCACTATTAAGTTAAGAATTTTTTTCTTTCTTTTTTTTTTTAACAACTTCGCTTCTAACAAGGCTGCAAACAACTACTATTAGAGTTGGAAGTTACTGGAAGAGAAAAGATAAAGATTGCAGAGCAAGATAACGATTGACAGATGACTTGAAAGATTGCAAATTATATGAATATGGAAAGCAAGATGAAGGAAGCGAATTTCAAAGAACCGATATTCGGGAAAAAAAAATAGAGGAATAAGAGTTTTTGGATCACTAAGGAACAGTCACAGAAAAAGGATGTCTAACAATGGGTTTTTAAATGTCTAACAATGAGTTGAATTAGAAGAAAAGTTCTTTGCAAATAGTTCTGCCATATCTGTAGGGGAGAGGTAATAAGATCAGTCACATGAATTAGAGATGGTATGTTAGACTTATCTTTGTTAAAGATGCTGTTGAAGATTTTCAAAATGTCTTTAGAGCCTAACTTCAGAGATTAAGCACGAGTTTTAGTAAACTGAAAATAATAAAGTAAGTATACCCCCAAGCCAAGCATATGACTGTTGGAATCTTTGCAAATCAAAGGAAAGTGCCCATTAATACTGAGATCTGAAGAAGAAATAGTCAAATTTATACTAGCCTCACAAAAAGTAAGCAAGTCTGGTGATTTTTGGAAAGGGGAAGTTTCTACTGATAAAAAGTTACTTCATAGACCACAAATATTTGTGAAAGATATATTGAAACAGATAGGTGGTAGAGATGGTTTTTTAATGTTTAATATTTTGGTTATTTTTGGCATGGTTTAAGTTTAAAGACAACATGAATCATTCATAGATACAGCAAAGCATCCTAATTATAGATAAATCCTGCTAATTAATCTAAAGTTGTAAGTTTTATAGTCGCTAGTTAGTAACTGAGCTCACACTGCATCAGAGATTTAAGCAGAACACAAACATAAATATAGTAACTTATGAGTGAGCATACACCCAACCAGAGGTTGAGACAGAACACAAACATATATAAAAAGATTTACAGGGGAACGAACACTCCGTCAGAGGTTCAGGTAGAACACAAGCACATAAATAACTTACGCCATATGGTATAACTAATTATTATAATAGTTATTTATTAGGAATTGTTATATTGAAATGCATATTATGATAAATAGATTATAATGCTGTAAATAAATTTTAAACTGTAATAAATTGGTTCATACTTTTCAGGAAATACAACATTTTCTGGATTCATTGGATGCATAAAAGAACCAAAACTAAACAAAATGCTTCTACCATTCAATGGGCGTACAGAAATAGTTTCTCGAGTTGATTTACATAATACTGAAAATGGATGCAAAGATTCAGGATTATGTTCTGTAAAACATTGTCCAAAATTTAGTGACTGTGTTAACACTTTTTCATCATATCGTTGTGTCTGTCTAACAGGTCATCATGGTGAGTTAATGCTTTTATTTTTTTTAGATTTACTTAATCATAGTCAGTAATTTTTTTTTTGTTTTTTTTTTTTGTTTAAGTAATAAAGCTTTGTTCCTTATATAACCAACAATTTTTTAAGAAATGTTTTGTTTTAACATTTATTTAACAGGTCTAAATTTATGATGATAAATTTTTTTTCTTAGCTTTTGTTTAAGTTTTTTTAAAAAGTAAAAGACATTTTGTAGTTGTTTTTTTTTTAAAAAGAAAAGTATGATATTTGGATTTCTTTATAAAAAGTAATTTAAAGATTTTGATATTTTCTATTATGTGTTTTAAACTTAAGGTAGTTTAGTAGATTTTTTAATTTTTTATATTGTTTACTGATTTTTTGTAAATAGGTGGGTATAATTAATTTTGGTTTTTGGTCTGGCAAAAATTAATTTATATTAATTTCTTCAAGTCAAAAACTATATTTTGTGTTTTGATAATTTATTGCTTAGAAAGTTAAAGCTTCTAAGTGAAAACACATTACTTAAAAAAATATTTTTATTAAAATATTATTTAATATTTGTGTTTTTTAGAAAAGTTGCATATATTATAAAAAGTAAACAGCTTTATATGTTTGGAGTAAAATGAACTAGAACAGTTAATGTTTCTTTCAGTTTTTAAGTATTTTCAAAATTTTCAATTTGATTTGTTATTAAAGAGTTTTATTTTTAGTATTTTTATAATTATAATTATTTCTTTATCAGGACTATCATGCATATCAAATCTGACATGTGAAGATCGCCCTTGTAAAAATGATGGAATTTGTACTTATGAATTAGTTAATAACATTGTTTCTTATGTTTGTACTTGTAAGGATGGATTTACAGGAGGACAATGTCACATAGAACTTGGTGAATGTGCTTTAGACCCTTGCAAAAATAATGGTGTTTGCTTGCCTCCCTCTTCAGAATCAGGTTATACTTGCAGTTGTATAAATGGTTTTTCAGGAAAGCATTGTGAACTTAATAATAATCCATGTCTGTCAAGTCCTTGTTATAATGGGGGAGTTTGCCAAAATATTGGTAATGATTTTAAATGTACTTGTCCTAGTGGAAAAAGCGGAAAGCAATGCTCTGCAGGTCAGCATTGTCTTATTACAAATTGTGAAAATGGAGCAAGTTGTTATGAAAAAAATGATAATGCATTTTGTCAGTGTAAAGAAGGATTTTTTGGAAATAGATGCCAACATGATGTCAATGAATGTCTAAAAGATGTTTGTCATTCAAAGGGTGTGTGTGTAAATACACCAGGTTCTTTTTACTGTACAGATTCTTTGGCTCAAGTTCATCATGAAAAAAAACAGTTTTCTTTGATTCTTGTTGTATTTGGTGTGTGTGGATTGTTGCTTTTTATAATTGTTGTAGCAGCTGTTGTATTTTGTTGTAAAAGAAATCATAATGGTTATCAACCTACAAATCAAGATTTTGAAACTCGCAAATATGCACTTAACACATATCCTATAGAAAGCTATGAATTGAACCCACCTAATCCTCCACCACGAGGAATTTCAGTACCACCTGGATATTATGATGATCAGGCCTCATCAATGTTGTATGATTACTCAGTAGCTTTACCTGGTACATCTAACGAAAAAATTCCTTTTAAAAATGGCTCTTCAAGAACTAGTGTAGAATATAATTCAGAAGAAGAACTACACTGGGATTATTCAGGGGTAAGTGTTTTGCTAATAAATAAATATATATTTATAAAATTTATTATGCATAAATATATATTTTTCTATATATTTATCCAAGTAAGTATTATTTTTATTTGCATAAATATATACATATAAATATATTTATATTTATATTTATACAAATATATTTCTTAGTTACTTTTTTATTTATTTACTTCTTAATTAACCAAATAAGTGAATATTATTTTCTTAAGCTAAGTACAAAAATCCTTTTCTTTTGTTAAAAATTAGCTGACTGGACCCATAAAAAAAAGAGTTTTTGTAAGTCTATTCCATACCAAACTTTTATATACTTTTTCCTAATATATATCCTAGATTTGTAGACCCGTAAAATATGGGTCTTTACCAAACCGACTATTTCTACACTGATCATTTCTATACCTATTCCTTATTTACTGCAATAATTTTTAGACCAAAAAAAGTTAACATGCGCACCTTTTCTGCATACGTGGATTTCATTAAGGCCCAAAATTATAAAAATGGATGTTTCAGAACATAATTTTTTTTATACCCCCTCCCCCCCCCCCTCCCTTCCTCCTTTACCCTATAGGGGTGTGTGAGGTAGCCAAGCCATGGTTAAATTTTAGGGGGTTCAAGACCTTCTTTAAACGTAATAAATTTTTAAATTTTTTTAATCTTGTTTATATATTTATAGCAAAAAATTTACATATGTAGTAAAAAAGACTTCTAGTTGTTAAAACAAAATTAAAGTTTTCTTATATTATACATATATTATACAGTTGTTCCATATACCACCTGCAAACACAACATATGCTAAAGAAGCTTTAGACTAACAGACATTTAAACATAACGCTATACAAATGGTAGAACTAAGAAGATGATGTAATTTTAGCAATTAGAAATTATCAAGAGAGGGGCAAATCTAAAATGGATGTCAATGGATGTCTCCACTTAAATACAGAGTTGTTAACAAAGCCAAAATTAGCGAGGCCAAGGTCAAGAGTTTTAAGACCAAGGCCAAGAATTTCAGTGGCAAGACCTATGTAAACATTTTTAATGCCAAAGACATAAATTTTGGCCTTATGTTTCAGGCCAATTATTAACAAAACTGCTGGTAGCAAGTGCTGTGGCAGTAAAACCACATGTACAATTATACCAAGGTTATGTGCAGAATTTGGTGAAGTCAGTTAAAAAATATATTTGGAGATAATATGAAAGCTAATAACAAAAATACATAACAATAAAAAATTAAAACTTTTAATTGTTTATTTTTATGTATTTTTGTGCTCAATACTAACAACTAATATTAATACCTTTTAATTAAAAGTTGATATGAATTGTAATAATGTTGTAATGTCATATCAAAAATATATTGATATGAGTTGTTAGCATTAATATTGTTAAATCATATATCAATCAATCATATATATTCTGAAAATAGTTTTGAAATACTAATCTCAAGTAAATACCTTAAAAAAAATAATTTATATATATACAATTAATCTTAGTAATAATAATAATAATAATAATAATAATAATAATAATAATAATAATAATAATAATAATAACAGTAATAATAATAAAGTAATTATAATAATTTAAATAAATTGGTATTACTTTCCATACACCAATCGTTTTACATGCAAAGTTAGTTACAAATAGTAATTAACTGACAAAATGGAACAACTAACGATGAAATAAAAACAACTAATGCTAAAAAAATTATAAAGATTTAGTAAATATATTAGTATAATCATAGTTGGTATAATATGATAATCAAAATAAATTGCAAATATTATGACCAAATAAATAAATAAAATATAAACAGAAAAACGCTGAGAAAATCAAAACAAAACAAAGGTTATAACAAACATTACAAACAAAACAAAAACTTGGCAAAAAAAAACAACAACAAAAAAACAAAAACTTAAGATTAAAAAAAAATAATAATACACGATAGAATAAAACATATATAATAAATGGCTAAAATGAAAATAAAAGCAAATAATATATAGCTGTATAAAAAATTATATACCACTAAAAATAAATAATAACTAAAAAAAAAAAATGACCAACAAAATAATAAGGAAAATTATATACGCTAAAAAACTGAAGAAAAATAAAGAAATAATAAAATTAATAATCCTAAGAAATATATGAAAGAAAACTAAAGAAATATATGAAAGATAACTTAAAGAAATATATGGAAAAAAAAAATCTTGATTTGCCGATCGAGGTTCCGCTGTTCTTTGTCATTCTTTTTATTTATATTTCATTCATTAAAGTTTTTTTTTTAAACTTCTATTTTCATTACTTTTTACTTATTTTCTTTCAGATATTTCTTTTTCTTTTCTACTTTCAAAATATTTATTTATTCTTCTTTTTTGCTGATTTTATTTTTCGTTTAATTTATAAATGTTTTCTTTTCCCTTTTACTTTTTTACTTTCAAAAAGTTATTTTCGACCATTGGAAAAAAGCATCCACTATTTGCGATGTCATTGCAAAGAGAAAGCATTAACCATCACTATATAGCGTTGAAGTCTTTGTTACATTTAAAAAACATCAAAGTTTCAAGCAATGAATCAGACATACGAGCTCTATGAGCGCTTTTTATCAATCCACAAGGATACAGAAATACTTTTCAAATATATATTTCTAATTTTTGAACTTTGTTTCATTGTATTCAGTTTTTTTAACGAAAAAAACTTTGAAATCAAAATAACTTTTGTAAATGAAATCAACTGTAGTAAAATTTTTAAAATGCAAACACCAAAGTTTCGAATTTAATAAGAAAAGGTGAAAGGTTGAGGCCAAAACATTCAAGGCCAAGACCAACCCCTTATTTTTTGACATTTAGGCAAAGCCATGGACACAACTCTGGAATGAGACAATATGTTTCATATTTTTTCAATCTCGTCAATTTTTTAAAATACAAAAACATAAATACATGAGTTCAAAATAAAACAGTTTAAGGAAAAAAGACTTTCATATTAAAAAGTTTTCATATATTACACACGATCCTGTATAAAACATTATATAAGTGGATTTTAAATATAACTTGCATAGCATCTAAAATATGTTATTTTAGATGCTATGCAATAAAGCTGCGCTTATATAGAAACTTCTTGAAAAATGTTGATTATTTGCAATCAGTATAAGAGTTTATAAAATGGTTTGTTTTTCAATTATATGCATAAATTTGATAGATCAGTGGTTTATTGCGCTGTCATGGGTGTCATTTTACGGGGGTTCAAATCCGCCCCTTAACACAATATATTCTCAATTTTTTCAATCTATTCGTATATATTTATAGCAAAAAAATAAATATAACAAAAAAGACTTTTAATTGTTAAAATAAAATTTTTTTCTAGCTGCAGACTTTTTTTTTTTTTGCCTCCATAGAAGCACCTTTCGGTGCAGCAGAACTGTCTTATTAATTTTTTTCTTTATTAAGTTTCAGACCATTTTTTTTTTTAGACCATCGCCTATTAGGACTTATTACCTGAGCACATTAATAACATAAGGATCTCTTATCTTATAATAACATAATGATCTCTATCTTGACATATAGGAAAAAAATTTCTAATAGTGTTTTGATGTTTTTTTGTCATTTTTAAAAAACTTTTGCTTTCATTTGTTGTAGTATATTATATCTTTATATACTTTAAGTAAATGATAGATAGAAAGAATAAAATATTTAAACATAAATTATTATATTGTATTATTTTTATTTTAATCACTATGTATAAATATATATATATAAAAAAAAAAGTAAAAAATCACAAAAATTATTCATCAGCTGATCGTTGAAAGTGTTTAAAATTTAAAAAAATTTGCTCTAAAGTAGTTTGACTAACAGAGTAATCTCCTATCTCAAATTCAACTTTAGCTCTCTCCATCACTCCAAACAATTTTGCCCATGATATATTTTTATTCATTAGTTGGTAATGCAAATAACCTTGATGCTCGTCTTTAAGCAGTGATCCAGTCAAACGTTTTATTGAAACTTTTTATTTTCAATAAAACGTTTTAAAGGACAAACTCCTCCTTTCATAAAACTCCTCCTTTCATAAAAACAAAAAAATCAAATAAACCTAACACTTGTTATGCAATAGGCAATTTGTTACTATAATATAATAATATAAATATCTATAGAACTTTAAAAATGCTTTATTTTGTATTTAAAAGGTCAAATAAGATTTTTTTTTTTAAAAAAAAAAGGTGCCTAGGTCTTGAACCAAGGCAATGCACTTCAGAAGCTTAGCTAACCACATCAGCCACATAGGCGTGTTGTCTGACCAATAATTTAAAACTATTTAATAAACAAAAGGCTTTATAAAACAGAATGTAAGCTTTTTTAAAAATTATCTCCCTTTTTATATAAGTTATTATGTATAATATTTTTATATATGTTGTGCATATAATATCTAGGCTTACAATAATTTTGAAGTTGTAAACGGTGGCAAGCAGGTAAGGGTTGGGGGAGGGGGTAGGTTTTTTTGACCTCTCTGGTCATTTATTTCAGCTTTTTGAAAAAAGCTGAAATGACCAGAGAGGAAGAGGGGTGGTTAAAGGGAGCTATAGAGCATAGATGATTTTTTTCCGGGAATTCTCGGAATTTTGGAATTTCACTAGAAAGTTCCTTTATTTTTCCAGAAATTTTCTGATGTTTTTTGTTTTTAATTTGAAAAAAAAATTATATATTTAAACATAAAATTTTAAATACGACTTTTGCATTTTTTTTTTTTTTTTTTAATTATTCACCTTCTCAAGGCCCGAGGGGCCACTACAATCGAGGAGGCTACTCATTTTTTTTTTTTTTTTTTTTTTTTTTTTTTTTTTTTTTTATTGTAAATCGTGATACAACCCTCTCTCAACTCTTTAACTCCAAAACACAAACCTTGACAAGCAAGGCCGCTGCGCGAAGAAATTAAGTTGAGCACAGTACTTCCAGGGACATGGTGGGAGTCAAACTCTGAACCTCTCGCTTACAAAGCGAGCGCTCTTACCACTACACCACTACCGCATTTAAACAAATATGTTTTCTATAACTAAAATTTTCAAGATATCAATTTTGGTAACAATTTTTTTTCTTTTTTTTTTTTGCTTTTTAATTCGTTCAAATTAACTTTTTCTAATATTAGAAATTCCTTTTTGTAAAAAGTTAAATAATCTAAATTCCGTTTAAAGTTTACAAAAGTTTTGTTGTCTGTTAATTCAATCAATTTTTAATAAATTAATTTTCCGGGATTTTTATCTATTTTTATCGTATTTTTTTTACAAATTAATGAAACTAACACTATTTTAATTGTTTTTTTTAAGCAAGTAAATAAAACCAAAAATTTTCATAATTTTTCAAATACTTAATAACTTATCTATATATAATATAAATATTTAATTCTATAGTGTCTTTATATATAGTTTACTTCACTTGTTTTTATTATTATATACATTTAAAATATACATGAAAATATTAAAAAATAACTTTAACTTAAATGTTTGCAATAGTGATGTTTTATCACAAATTTTTTTATAAAATATTTGCCTATTTTGTCTACTTTAATTTTTATGGATTTAGACAAGACATTTTTCAGTTGAAAGAAGTTTTCTTTGTGAATACAAATTTTGATTTAATTCTTTATTTCCAATGAAAAGTTTTTGAGTAAAATCCTAATAAAAGTAACAAAAAGTCGTGTAGTAAAAAAATTGTGTACATGTAAAAAATTTAAAAAAGCTAATACCAATTTTTATTATATTTTAACAATTGTTATAGTTATTTAGCATTTTAATCAAGTTAATTAAGTAGTATAGTTTTATATTTTTTCATAATAAGTTATGTAGTTTCTAAATTAAAGATTTGATGTACTTCTTAAATATTATTTGTCAAAAATCTTCACTTTTTTTTAAATATTTGTGCAGTTGTGACATGAATCATTATTAGACTAATTTTGTTTTTTCATGAAGCTAATGTTTCTATAAATTGTTCATTGTGTAAGTTAGAATAAACTTCTTTTTTAGGGTCTTGAAGCTGTCATAAAAAGCAAAATGGCACGTGAAGCAAATAGTCTTGGAGTTACTGCAGGTGTCCCTTATGGAAGTGACTTTGTTGAATTACCTAAATTACCAGTACGTCCTGCTAGCCGCCGTTCATCGATTCCTGGATATTCTGAGTCTGAAAATGATATTCCTAAACTTCCAGAACTACCTCAGCAAATAAGACTTTCACGCTTATCTTTAAAGTCGTCAAATCATTCTCCCTCATATTTAAGAAGAACACCTGATAGGGCACCACCTATTGAAGAAAATCGGTTTGCTTTTTTTTGTATACTAATTATGTATAAATTTGATATTTATACTAAAATATATATATATATATATATGTATATTTATATATATATATATATATATATATATATATATATATATATATATATATATTTATATATATATATATATATATATATATATATATATATATATATATATATATATATATATATATATATATATATATATATATATATATATATATATATATATATATATATATATATATATAATAGGGTGATTCTAAAAACAATTTTTTTTTTATCTATATAACAATATAATACTGGATTTAAAAAATAAAAGATATTTTTAGAAGTTAAATCGGTCCCTAATATTATGTCATGTTGGGCCTCAATTAAGCAAAATTATTCAAAAAAATTTATAATTAAATAATTATTTTAGATTTTATTGAACATTTTATTGACGTTTTTTAACTAAAAACGAAAAATTGGGAATTTAACAAGATTTTTTCGATTATAATTTATCTTTATTAGTGATTTTTTGTAAAATGATTCATATTTTTCAACAAAATTTTGCTTTTTAAATCTATTGTAAAATGTATTATAAAAACAAAATAATTTTTTTTTTTTTTGTTATTAAATTTTCAAAAATAAGAAATATACACTAGGTGTCTATGAAAAGAACATGAAAATTTCGTTATCAGTCGTGAATGATATTTGTATATTGTTTTATTTTATTTTTTTTTTTTCTTTACTACTTTAATTTAATGTTCATGAATTATTTTTTTAAAAGAAATTTTTTTATTTTGCCACATTTATTATTAGAAAATATTAAAAATTACATTTATTATGAAGAATGAACTTAAACATTTTATATAATATTAATTTTAAAAAATTTATATTATACAAATACAACTTTCACTTTACTTAAAAAAAAAATTATTTAAAAGCAATTCGCTATACAAAAACTAGAGATGCCACGAATATTTGGCAACACCTAATTATGTTGAGGGCTCCTACCTACTTCGTTGTAGTGCATATGTCAACTACTCTGTAGACATTTATAAATAGGTTGTGTCACAGCATGTATTATTTGTTGACTGATACACCAAATATTTTAACTACAGTTATGCATAAAAGTTTCATACTTTTCAAACCATTCAGAAAAGATAAAAAACTCTAAACTAATTAAAAATGTTATTTTCACAACAACCTGAACTTAAAGCATGCTTTAACCTAAATGGGAAAGACGATTAAACGATTGCCTTTTTTATTAAGTCGCCGAATATTCGTGACATCACTAATAAAAAGTTAGTTAAGAAGTTTTGATATAATTTATTTCACATAAGGTGTAATTCAGAATATTTTTTATTTGGTTATTTCAAAAAGCCGCTCAAAGTAACAAAGCAAAATGTGATTTGTCTGGTCATATAATGATGTGCGATCGCACGTCTTCCTGTGAATATATATATATATATATATATATATATATATTTATATATATATATATATATATATATATATATATATATATATATATATATATATATATATATATATATATATATATATATATATATATATATATATATATATATATATATATATATATATATATAGTCTTGCATGTTAGTTTCTTCATACATATATATATATATATATATATATATATATATATATATATATATATATATATATATATATATATATATATATATATATATATATATATATATATATATATATATATATATATATATAGTCTTGCATGTTATATATATACATTTATATATATATATATATATTTATATATATAAATATATATATATACATATACATACATATATATATATATATATATATTATATATATATATATATATATATATATATATATATATATATATATATATATATATATATATAATACAATTTACAAACTACATAAATACATGTATCAGAGTTTAAAAGTTGCACAATCAATATGTTATAAATAATGACAATTTATAAGAAAAAATGTTAGTATATTCAGTTCTCATTCGAAAAATATTTTTCTATGAAAACACTGCCCTACTAGTTTTTATCAAACAATTTTCACAGTTCATCACATCAAATTTTTAATAGATTAGTATAGTTATTCTACGTTTAATACTGTTCAATTATCTGATACATGAAGTTGAGTTTTTGTGTTAAATAATGGCATTGTTAGTTGTGATGTATTTCTTGTGTAAATGTATCCATCTCTGCAAACCAAATCATTTCTTTGTACCACCAGATCAA